CTTCTGCTGCAGAATGTTTGCCTGTACCGTTTTCCTGCTCGGGTCTGCGCTGTGTGGGGCAGCACAGTCGATGATCATGCTCATCGTAAGTGGTCGTTTGTCTGCTGGCTGTCTCTGTTGTCAGTTGCGATCGAGAGCGTCCTTGTGCTCCTTGTGCCTCTACCATCCCCATTCGCTCATGTTTTTTTTTTTTTTTTTCCGGTCTGCATTCCGCCATTTCAACTTTATTTCACCCAATACGATCCATATCAACATTAACATGTTCTTCCTGTATTAACATGTTCTTCCTGTCAACCCATGTAGATCGCGAGAGCTGTTCAGGGCCTCGGCGGAAGTGGCATCATTGCCCTCACCATGATCCTCGTCGCAGACATCGTCCCACTGCGTGAACGCGGCACTTATCAGGCCTTGATCGCCCTCATCTTCTCCATCGCAGCCGTGCTGGGCCCTTTGCTCGGCGGTGCTTTCGCAGACAATGTCACTTGGCGCTGGGCTTTCTACATCAACCTCCCTGTCGGTGCCCTAGCAATGCTGTTGCTCATCTTCTTCCTGCACATGAACCGCCGCAAGAACGTCTCGCTCGCAACCAACCTCAAGTCAATCGACTACATTGGCATCGTCTTGATGATCGTCTCCATCGTCATGATCCTCCTGGGCCTTAACTGGGGCGCCGATGCAAAATATGCCTGGGACTCTGCCACCATCCTGGTCCTGCTCATCGTCGGTGTTGTCATTGGCGCAGCTTTTCTCGTCCACGAGTCAAAGTTTGCCAAACGCCCCGTTATCCCTCTGCGTCTCTTTGGCACGTTCTCGCTTGCGATCACATACGCCCAAGTCTTTTTTCAGGGCTTCATCTTCTTGGGATTGCTCTTCTTCCTGCCCTTGTATTTCCAGGCAGTCAATGGTTCATCCGCTGTCCAGTCTGGAATCGATTTGCTACCCTATGTCATCATTGGTTCCGTCACAGCCATCATCGCTGGTCTGTTGATGAGTCGCTGGGGCACCTATAAGGAGTTTATCGTCATTGGCTGGGTGATTGGAGCCATTGCTTCCGGAATCCTGATCACGTTTGACGAATACACATCTCGCGGCAAGGTTGTCGGTATTCTACTGCTCCAGGGAATCAGCATGGGTATGACCGTGAACACCCTGCTCCTCGGAGTCCACGCACAACTAGTCAACAAATCGGATCTGGCCCAGAGCACCTCCCTTTGGACTTTCTTGAGAACCTTTGGTGGCGTCTTTGGTATCGCAGTCGGAGGAACGTTTGTGCAGAGCAGCCTCAGCAGTGCCGGTGCCAGCCAGTATGCGCAAAACATCAAGGCCATTGCTGATCTCCCTCCGGATGTGAAGGGGCCTGTCCTTCGCGCCTTCGTCGTGGGGCTGCAGCGCTTTTTTATCCTCTTGACAGCGATCTCTGTCCTGGGCTTTGTTTTCTCTCTGTTCATCAAGAAGGTCCAGATGGGTCCTAAGCACCATAACGAGAAGCAGGAGAGTTCGGGCTCGCCCCCTCCTATGGTCGCGGAGTAAGTAAAGAGTGTATACAAATGTATACATGTCCTTTTTGCTCCACATCAACGTTTTAGGTTGTACATACCCTATTTTTATTTCAGTCGCATAATAAAAAGCATTCGCATAGCATGGCATGTTTTGAGCACGAATATGCACCTCGGCAAAACTCGTTCCCATTTTGGTCGCGACAGCCTGAAAGTCGGGATTCGACGTGGATCCAAAAAGAAGAGAGAGAGAGAGACGGAACGCGTTATTGTGTTACTGAGGTTACCATATTACATCCGGGCGAAAAGGAAGACACCGCTCGAGAGCAGGGTCTTGGATGCTATCCTTGGGCATCTTATTGCAAATCATCTTCTAGTTCCTTGAGGATCCATCATCCTATCTATTATTTCTTCAGTCCTTTCTTTCCAGGTTTTTTAATTGTGCTCGTTATTATTGTTATTATCGACTTTTTTTTTTTTTTTTTAAGTTAACGAGATCTGACAATATCAGGGACGGCAGAGGTATAGTGTCGAAAGGAAAGGGCATCGTAGCAAGATCCATAAAAATGACCAGCAGCATAGCGTAAAGCAAACGAGAGCAGCAATCTTATAAAAAGTTCGCAACAAAAGAGGGGAGGCACATTCATTGTTCTGGGCGACAGAAGAGGAGAGGAGAAGGGGCTATGATACAGAATGTTATACAAGGACGAGGACTGCGTCAACGTAGCAGGTCCAGGAGGCCGCACAATGTGGGGGAGGGGGATATAGGACCTTAAGCGCTGGAGAGAGTCGGTACAGCAGATCGGATAGTCGAGCTGGGCGTCGCGGTCTCTGTGCTGTTGCCCGAGGATTTGTTCATGTTGTTCGTGTCCGAGTTGTCAGGGTCGGGCAGGCCACGAGCGCGATTCTTGACAATCAGCAGGCTCCTCTGCTCCAACATGCGCTCAAAGACATCCTTAACAGTCTCTATGATGGGGACAAAGACAACTTGCTCTGGTTTCTCTTGGTTCTCGTTGCTGGTCTCGTCTTGTTCCGATGACTCGTCCTCTACCAAGCCGGTCTCTTCGTCCACGTCCTGTCCTTGCTCGTTCTCCGAATCCTTATCCTCAGATGTTGTATCCGGCTTCGCAGGTATGGGGACATCACTGAGGTCCTCTTCCAAGGCTTCCTCGCTCAGATCGACATCTTCCTCCAAGTCCTGTTCCTCCTGCAATGCTTCGGACTCTGAAACCTCGTCCTCAGGAGACAAGTTGTCGTTCAATAAGCCGTCGCCGTCTTCATCGCCATCTTCAGCGACTTCTTCAGCGTCCTCGTCAATGATAGGATCCTCAGCCTGCTTATCATCCGATGTGGACTCTTCCTGATCGTCCGCTTCTTCGGTTGAATCGTCATCGTCAGATGTCTCGACGACTTCCGCGTCCTGATCATTTTCGTCCTCGTTCTTGTCCTCTTGCTCATCCAATTCACTGCTCTTGGAATCGAGCGACTCGTTCTCGTCTTCTTCCTCTGATGAAGAAGACCGACGCCTCAGGCTTGAACCTTTCTTTTGATCATCATGATTCTCTTCGTGGTTCTGTTCTTCGGTATCAGTTCCATTGGTGTCACCAGAGGTCTCTAGTGTGTCTACTTCAGCAGGGAGAGGCGTAGCCGTGATGGCTGGTGGCTGCGTTGGACGATAGGATGAGGTCTCATTCACGACCTTGAATGCCTCCTCAGGATCCAGGACCATGATAATCTTCTTATACGTCTGAAAACGTTTGCGTCCACCCATAAAGTCGCGTCCGATGATGCTCCTGTAAATAGCTGCGATAGCTTCCGCCGGATTTTGACCGGCATCTGTACCGTGAGGCGGGAGAACCAGGGCATCATGGCCTGGAGGGAATAATAATAATAAAAATGCCAAGAATAATCTGATCAGCTCTGGGTGCAGTAGCGAGAAAGAAAAGAAAAAAGAAAAAAAGAAGCACGCTATCGAAGTAAAAGAACAAAACTCCCATCTGTACCTTGACTGACGCCGACCTTCATGGCAGCAAGGATCCTCCGGCGCAAAAGATCGTCTTCTCCTTCAAGAAATTGGACGCCGCCAAGACCACCTTCCTTTTCTCGAGTCTCCATTTTTGGAATAGGCGCGACAGACTAGATGTTCGATTCAGAATATGACGATTGATTAGAAAATATTATTAAAAGCAGAGTTCCAATGTACTAGGCCTCAAATACTCACCACAACGCTGATCCACTCAAAACGATCCATGAACTCGTTGTTCCTATCCATGCCATGCCGAAAGACCGCCTGGTTGGGACAATAGACCCCACCGTTCTCTGGCAGTGGGTAGAACCTTGATCGTCGAGGCTCCTGATCAAGGCATTGATATAGTGTTGTACGACGGAAGAGGTCCGCCTCGTTGTTAGATGCATCATCCAGATGATAGTCTGGAAGGACAAAGAAGAGCAAATACAATTTAGCATCTAGGTATCGAAAAATATGCCGGGGCTCGCTCAATCAGCAAGCAATTAAACACGAAGACTCACCTCCTCCAGGGACCAGGTTGTTGCCGACGTTCAGCATGACGGGCCGGTAACCCTCCTGTCTTAGCTTGATGGTCTCGTCAAGCACATTTCCAACGACAACGGTCACCTCAGGATCCCATTGCATGTCCAAGACGAGGACATGGATGTCGTCATTCTGGTACGTACTCGCTCGCCTGGATCCTGCCATGACCTTGATTGGGTCCAGTTCGACCACATATCCGTTAGGGTCTGTATACTGTTTTTGAGCGAACACTTTGAGTGTGCGAGCAAAGATTGATTCAGGATCGAGATTGCGGCGGTTAGGGTGAAACTGCTGAAAACGCGTCAAAGCCATGGGACCGGCATCTCCGCTGCCACTCAACTGTCGCAGCTGCCTTAGTTGCTGTCGGTCCTGATTCAGCAGCTGTCGTTGTTGTCTGGCCCTCCAGGCAACACACTCTTGGGAAGAGAACGAGAGTGTGGTCTGCTGATGCAGCGAAGCCTTGTAGGTGGACAACAGACGCTTCTGGTTCCGCAATCTGCGCTTCAAATGACGCTGTAGGGCCGAGGGGGACTCGTTCAGGAGTGTGCTGTCGTAGTTGTGGTTCTGGACCACGCGTTGGACCTCGAGTGCAAGCTCGAGTTCAAAGTCGGCTTCCTGCAGCGACTTTTCCTCGAGAGAGAGACTGAGAGATAGCGATGGGTCTGCGGCGGGGGAGGGTGGTGAGACACAGTTGATTTCCAGCTGGAGGTCGTTCTCTTCGAGGTCCTGCAAGATCTGGGCATTACGACTGCGAAGGTGCTCCTCTTCCTGAAGATGGTGCAAGAGCAAGGAGGATGTCTTTGTGGAGGCGCGTTTGCCGATGTTCCTGCGTGTGCTGGAGAGGGAGTTGGCTGTGAGGTTGTTGTTGAGGTCTGATCGGGTGGATGTGGTGGATATCCTTGAGAGGGCCAGGAGAGAGAGGAGGAAGAGGAGGAGGATCACTAGCAGCGACCAGCGGACGGGCATTGTCATTGTGGGGCAGGGAAATTAATGGTTAAGGGAAGGGGCCAGTGTATGGCGGGAATGGTGGTGAGACAGATAGAGTCAAGAGGTGGGAAGGGGTCGTTAGAACGGTCAGTTAAGGAGGGGGGAGGAGGAGAGGGGGAGGGGAAGGGGGAGAGGGGGATGGGGATGGGATGGGGATGAGGAGGAGGAGGGGGGAGGGGGATGATGGCGAGGGAGGAAGGAGAGGACAATGAGCGTTGGTGTGAGCTTCTGTCTGTCGATGTATGCTTGGGTGTTGGCGGCGTCCAGTCGTCTGAGGAGTCTGGGTGGACCATTTGCATCGTGGGGATTGTCTGTCCTCCCCCCCAGGGACCGGGGAAACCACTGCTGGCGAGGTTAAAATTACTGGATTGATCGATTAGCTGCACTCTGGCCTGGCTAATTACCCAAATCTAATCCATAGTAGTCTAGAAAAACGTCGCAGTAGACTGCCCAGAAAACACACGCTCAAGAGCACCAGAACGAAACGGGCTCATATCCGACCTTACTTTCATTTTCCTTCTTTCCATTCCACACCTCAACCAAACGCCAATCGACATACCACGCTCAGCCCAGCTGCAACCACCTCAAGCAAACAAGCAAACAAGCAAACAAAACAACAGACCAACGAAAGATGTCGCCACCACCATCCACCCGCATCCTGTGTACGGAACCGCCGACCGGGGCACTCGCGTCCCCCCTCTGGACACCATTCCACAGGGATCTCGTCGCCAGGATGAAAGCCCACGCCACCGTCCCCACCCGTCCTATACCATCTGCGGTAAGAAGCATTTTGCCGCTGTTCTTGGATGCTCTTCTGCTGAGGGCTTTTGTAAGCAAACGATGCATCTCAACAACAGATGTTGCATCTCGCTTTCTCTCCAAAGATACAATCCAGGAATCCATCAAACAGATGATAATGGGCGCACGACTCTTAACAAACCACGCAATATGAAATAGACAAAGCAGACAAAACAAAGCAGACAAAATAGACAAAACAGACAAAGCAGCAGACAAAACAGACAGATGCGCATGAATAAAATTGTCCGGGCTCACTGCTGCTACCACTTTCTACTTTTGTCTGTACCTTCTTTTGTTGCCATATATCCAAAGGGATTTAGAGCGATTGTGCACCCAAACTACTGTACAGCAGTGCGCTGCTATAGGTCGCCAGATCTTCAACGCACTCAGCCATATACCGTTCTTTGTATGCAAATATCATTTTAGGACTTTCTAGTACTCTCATTTGAACCATCGATGGTCACAGCCACGTTCGCCTTCATTTGCCTGTCCAGCACTCAGGACATGGACGCGATCCTACTGAACGAGATCAATAGGTATCGCAGCAATGATACATGGACTCAGTCATGGACTGGGGCATGGGAAGTGAACAACGACATGCACTTCTAACCGTACATCCACTTTACTTTTCACCACGTGTATACATGCAAAAAAATAAATAAAAAAATTAGGATACTTTATTGCATCCAGCGATATGGAGCCCATCAAACAGCCATTCTTCTGATGATCCAGCCTGGCCACGCATCGTGTCTCCAGACCCTCGAGTCCTTTCTGTAAGTCGTATTGGGCGCACAGTTCATCGGGGCACACCATAGTTCTATTACGTTCGCAATCAATCTCATATTATATTCGAATCTCCGCCTACACAGCTTGAACAAAATTGTCCCAGACACGCTCACGGGCCTTAACTTATCTACTATGGTTGCGTCCACTATTGGGGCCCCATCCCGTCAATCACTGCACACTCGACCTTCCGGATTGTCTCTGGACACATCTGCACTAAACATGCCTCATCTCGCGGTGTGTCACTCTTGCGCGGATGCATCAGATATCTTAACTCACCTCCTAGACCAAGCCAAGGCTCACTCATCCCCTGTCAACGCGCCTCTGTTCCGTTCTACGAGTCTTCTTCGGACACAGAACCAGCAACCGGATGCTCGAAATCCGTTCAATCCTGAGTCTCATTCGTTACTGCAAGATCCAGGGCTTACCTGGTTATCCATCCCATTATCGACACGAGACGGCCCAGCCTTGACAATCCAAGGTAACGAGCTGACTTCTCTCTCTCTCTCTCTCTCTCTCTCTCTCTCTCTCTCTCTCTCTCTCTCTTTCTCTCCCCCGCAAGTCTGAATACCAAACAATAATGTGTTTATATACCACTGTTGCTTCCTAACTCTCGGGATTGTGCAGATTGTCAACGATTGCGGACAGGTTTGAGCACGATTCAGAACGTGGCACTGGCATCTTCAAGCCAACTTCAGGACAGCTGCCTGATCAGCAACACCCTAGCCAAATCCATCGAGGCTTTCTTCGAGACCGATCAGCCAATATAGCATGCAAACCAGCACAAAGTTACGGTTTTTCAAGTTCAAACATCATTTATGATACGGCGCCTTTCTAGGTTCTGTTGTAGGCAGTACTTTACACATGAACAAATTAGAAAAAAAAAAAAGAGAAAAACTGCAACAGAGAACATACTATCTACAAAAGTCATGACATTGTGAAAAAAAAAACTAAGACACACGATGACAAGAATGGATCACAGATTTAACAGCCCTTCGCTAGCAATTCGTTCCTTCTCAATCTGCTGCTGCCCCAACCACTGCTTCATGGCCTCCTCAGCGCCATGTTCGCGAAGATACCGTTGGAAAGCACGGAACCGCATGTATTCCTGCCGCTCTGCAGGGTCTGTCAATCGATCCAAAACAGCATCCTGTATACTTTCCCTGTTCGAATGCCCCTGATCTTGAACTTGGTCTTGATCACCGCTATGATCGACCGAACGCGTCGAATCCGGGCCTTGGTCATTTGCCTGATAACGAAAAGCGCGTATAAAATAAAGCAGGGTATCGTCAGGTTCTCGTGCCTGCGTATTCATTTACAACAAAAACCATACCAGCGGGCTTTCCACGGAACAGATCATTACCATCACTGCTGCGACCAACAAGTTGAATCGCCATGCAGATTGCTCCGCTGCTGCACGGGCTTGTTGATTCAATCTCGCCTCCGCTTTTGATTCCCTGACTCTAGATGGATGACAAATGTGGTTCAATAACACGTAGCGAGCAGCAAGGAAAGGAATGTGAGGCGTAATCATGATAAAATTCCACAAGTCTATAACTGCAATGGTACCTTTGACATTTTTCGATAAAGCTTAGTTTGATACTCCGTTCCGGAACCCTGAACAACACACCACTGGTATCTGTGTCCCATATCGATCGCTTTCGTGTTTCTGTGTCCGGTTCGGATATCACCTCGATATTGCCGTCATTAGATGCACTAGGGTCACCTACTTGAATAGGAACCGCGTCCCTTCTCTTTCTTTGCCGTGGCTACCGTCAAAAAAAAAAAAAAAAGAAAAAGAAAAAGAAAAGGGAAGCGTTTCGGTTACACATCTGCCGGGTAATATCCTAATCATTGCTGAAAGCGCCAAGCTCATCCACCTCATCAAATTGTTTACCAGAACATGCTCCACATGATTTGGACACATCCACTTGCGCGAAATAGGAGGCGGAGAAGCCATTGGTGGCGATAGACAATCCAGATGCCAATGCAACGGACAATGATCGCAGCTTATCATCCATTGACCGCCCACAGCGCTCTTGTCACACCGGTAGCACAGCCGGATATTGCCCTGAGCGTCCTCCAGCTGCAACGCCCTTTCCTCTGCTCGTGACAGCCCTGAGGGCAACGGAGTTGTATTCTTGCGTTTTGATTTTGGCTTCTGGTCCGATATCTCTTCGTACTCGCCATCGCTGTTGGCTGTAACTATGCATGTTTAAAAATACCCAACACAACACGCATGTTAATAGTTAACGCGGAAATTTCCGATATCGGCAAACATCAAGGGTTGTTAGAAAAAAGATGGGCTCGAAAAAAAGGGGGGAGCTCCTCTCACGATAAGCAGGAGTGAGCGGAGTGGCGGCAAAAGATCGAATGCAACAGATAATATCCCATACCTCCTGCGAAAAAGGATTGGACCTCTGGCGGTAAGACGAACGCCCTTGGGTTGCTTCTATTTGCATTGTCTAAGAGATCCTTGAAGATCCCTGGAGCACTTGGCGCTGGTGGATTCTAGTTCGTACATGAGAATTGGTATCAGCACCAAGCCTTGGTGATATATTCCATGATGAGGTACAATATGAAGTCGTGTAAACTCACCTTTGCTGCACGGCATTCGTTGCAGTCCCATTCATCTGGAAGATCGTTGGGGTCCACGGGAGGTTGGCAGCACGAAAAATGGAATGCCTTGGGACAAGAATCGCAACAAATGAACTCGCCCAGACCCAGGCACGCTTCGCAATAGTCGTTGTTATACTATGTGTAGGGAAGAAAATAAAGTGTTAGACGAATGGGTGTCATTCTTGCGACGGCGCCCTTTGCTAGCTTCCTTTGTTACCTTGAGAGCAAGTTCATCGCCCGTTATAGAGACCACATCGGAATACGGAGCCACGCCCTTCGTACTGAGAAGTAAAAAGAGAGGAAGAAAAAAAAAATGGTGCAGTGTTAGGTCCGCAAAGACATCCACGCATGCTGTCCGTGCATCCAGATAGGGCTAGTTACGTACCGTGTCTTAGGCACTTGCTTTTGTGTGGGTTCCTTGTTTACAGTAGGCAATCCTTGTTGTAATCCCTTTGTCTCTTGATCCAGCTTTTTCCTTTTGGTAGCACCTTGGTCAGGAGTCTTGGAGCGTTTTCTGCTGACGTGGTCCCGCAACACTCTGGCTGCACTTTGTCTCTTCATAGCCTTTGGACCATTAATAACGTAATCGTTGCAATCGATGGCTTGTACGTCAGATTGTGCTCCATCTGCTGCACAACTGTCGGACTCGAGTGAAACAGAATATTCTGGCACAGAGAGCTTTTCGGGCGTTGAGTGACCATTGATCGCTGTCACGGAGGGTGAGGTTGAGGCGGGGTCATGTCCGTCCGTGATATCGACTGAGGAACTTTCTGCGGTGTGATATAAATGCAAAGGCTTTGTCCCTGATTCCGGAGCAGGGTCGGATGCCGCAGGAGATTTTGGTGCTGGCTTGGCCGCGCTCCATGAACTGGCACTCAGTGTTGTTTGTACAGTTGAAGAATCCATTCCGTTTTTCGGCGTGCTTTCTGCAGCCATATGTTTGGTATGTCGTCGTTGCGAGGGCTTTTTCGTTCGTCGGACGTCTCCTAGGGCTGTTCCAAGCTTTCTCAAGTCTAATCGCACAATGAGTCTTCCTTCCTGAGGGCCAGAGTCCAGATCGTTATTCTCATGTTGACCAGTGTTGGTAACATCCATGTCCGCGCCTGAACGAGGGGGAGTAGGGATGGTGGATGCTTTGTCTTGTCGCGGCTGAATGTCAGAGTCCTTTGGTCGAAAGTGCAGCAGTATAGAGGGTCGCCTGTCCTTAGACGACATTGTGGACGACGGCAATGAATCAAGCTTGGATATCCTTCCTGGAATCATTTCAGTCGCTGCTTCCTGCTCCTGTTCAGTTTCTGGATCAAGGTGTGATGCGTTAGATTCTTGACTGTGCCCTGCCGTGTGTGCTGGAGTCTGGGGCTGAGGCTGTGGTTGTGGAGGCAGGGACTCTTGTTCCTGGTTAGCGTCGTACTGCTGCTGGTGAAGACGGCGGTAGGCGGTGCTGTATCTTCCTGTAGAGGTAACCGACGTTGCTGGTTTCTGCATCACAGGTGATGTAGACGACAGCATGTTTGATCGGCAGTTGGCCATGAAGCTCCAGAGTCGCAGGGTTGCTTATTCCAAGCAATCGCCAACACAGAAAGGTGGTGAAGGCTTTCTTTGACGAATTCCGGTGTCCTGATCGCAGTGCTGATGAAAACAAGTGTTTCTGAATAAACAAAAGATCCTTTCTGCGAACAAGCAAGGCTGTCGTCGTTGCGGAATTGAGGACACAAAGTGAGAAAGTACTATAATGGGCAATGCAATGTAATAAAGCAGCGAGGAAAAAAGAAGAGGAGGAATATGAGAGCTTACTCTCCTGCAGCACCAAGTGAGATGCAATGCGGATAAAGACAGTATCGGGTATAGAAGTGTGCAAAAAGAAGTCGCGTCAACAGCAGGATTTGAACCTGCGCGGGAGAACCCATGAGATTTCTAGTCTCACGCCTTAACCGCTCGGCCATGTTGACCACTTTTTCTCATCTCTCAAGGACCTTGTTAAGTCCACACCTCCCGGGACGCATCTCTCCGCACTGCTCTTTAGGGCCTATTTTTGCCGTTTTTTTGGGCGTTTTGGTGGAGAGGGCAGCTGTAGTAGATCGTTGCTAGTTACTCTGATAGATTTATAGTCAATTGACTCGAGAAACAAATTGTTATAAAAAAAATAATTGTCGTTTTTTTTGGTCCTTTTCGAGCCCTCCCGCGGGCCGTACCCGTGGGTCCCAAATACCGAAGAGTGGTATGGAGGCTAGACGCAACGCAGCACCATGATTTGAAATGCCACGCACAGTTTGCAACACACAGTGCAGACCTGGACTTGAGGAGGATACTGAAGCTGCAGTCCGCGGTACGGCACCATTATCAGTGGACATTGCAGCATCGAACGAGGACCTACATCAAGGATTGGCGGTCGGTGGCATGGGCGCCCACGCTGCGGATCTTACACGATAACAACCCGCCAAAGCGCTTATACACCAGCCTGGAAGACTGTCGTTTACGTTCGCACAGGATCAAGAAGTTGCATGGAGATTTGCCGACATTGCAGGCGATGAAGAAACGACATCCAGATACCTACCAAACGGACATATGTCGTAGGTGTGAGAGGGAACCAGAGACGAACGATCATCTTTGGCGTTGTTCAGCTACCTTGTGCGACCAGCGACAAGAGTGGAGGGACGCGGTGGAGGAAGTGGAGTTGAATGGATATCGTGCATGGAGACAGGCAGTGCGAAAATGGGAACAGGAGAGAGAGGAGGCCGAACGGAAGGACAAGCCCTTCACTGCGACTTGTCCCAACTTCTCGGCAACAGGAACGAAGGCTATCTGGGAGTCAATGCAGTGGATTCAGGGGACGGCAGAAAGACGAGGGACATATCACGTTGCGGAAGGAGAGGAGCCGGAGGGTGAGGCAGATTGGGAGGTCAAGGACTTATACCGAGGTTTGGTGCCAACGGGACTCATTGAGACCTGGAAGCAGCTATTTACCACCACTAAGTGGATTGCGACGATCATGGTGACAAAGTTCGTGAGCAGGATCGAAGAATTTGGCAGGACCAAGATATGGAACAAACGATGCGAGGACACTGTCGCCTGGGAAAAGTCAGTTGGAATCACCTTCATGAGCAAACGCGCCGGAGGACGCAACGGTGATCGGGGACACCAACGTAGTGTTGGTGATTTCTCTGATTTGAAAGGGAGACGGTTACTTGCAACGGAGATCCAGGAAGGTAGACGGACCGCGGATTATAGGGTGATACAGCATTGCTTGGGGCGAGGGAAGTTGGACATAATGGAGTGGTTATTCGGTTTAAAACAACTTTATTAACATTGGATCTGGATTAGGAGACGTGTATCGCGCAACAGGTCACGCAGGAGTTAGGTTAGGCTAGCTATGCGACATGGGTTATGAATTTGACGCCTCAAGCCAACATAGTTGGTAGGGGATGCGGCTCTGCCGTGCATGGAAGGCATCTATGGCTTCAAGGCCTTTGCGGACCATGTGTCTCGTGCTCATGTGGATTTATGTTATTAAAAAAAAAAAAAAAAAAGCTTCTCAAGACTACGGGAACAATTCCAGTAATTATGGTGGAAAAGTTCGTCGAGGCGGTGGAGGAAGTTGAGAAGACAAAAGTCTGGAATATGAGATGCGACACTACTGTCAAATGAGAGAAGACCTTAGGTTTTTTTTTTTTATTTTTTTATTTTTTATTAACATAAATCCCCATGAGTGAGAGAAGACCTTAGGTAGCTGCTTGTAGGAGACGTTATGAGGCACAGCCTCTGTGGACTACAACCCATCCTTGTTAATAAACAATTTTAAAAATCCGGGCCCTCTTGCGGAAAGGGACGATGACCGAGAAGGAGAACTAGTCCAGAGCAGAGTTAGCTATCGATTCGGACCACCTGTGTCAATGCCAGGGTCCTTTCCTGGACCCTTGGTCTGCGAAAGTGTTACTAGGCACTGCTTATAGACATACGGGCACGCTCGGCTCTATGCGCATTGTACTTTTTATTTTATTTTATTATTATATCATTCTATTATTCTATTACTCCATTATTCTATTTTATGATATTTCTTTTGGATGCGCGCGCTGGTGAGATAAAAAGCCCCGGACTTGCTTCTTGTGAATGGCATTCGACGCATTTTACTCAGCACTACCGACCCACACTTGCTGGAACAACATGATGCTGTGCTGATGTAGAGCACAAACAGAGCAAAGAGGCCTGGTCAAGTCCCGCTCGAGAGTCTCGGGGACCTTATCTGCACCTGTTTTCGCCATCGTTGCCTTCGTCGCCATCGTGGTCATCGTTGCTGGTTTGATCCCTACTTCCTTTTTAACGCCAACGGAGATCCATTTGAGCGTTACAAAATGTAGTGCAGCCATTGCATCCGCTCATTATGAGGCGAGAACAATGCGGTCTAGCAGCGTCCACGTCTCCGAACGCACTTGAAGCGGACAACAGTAGGATGCAATTGATAAGTTGTCAAGCAAAAGATCGAAATCAAGAACCCCAGTCGATCTATCACAATCATGGAAATGACTTTGGAATATGATGCCGGTGAGATCGCCATTGACTTTGTTATTCGGCTGAATTCAATTGTAGAGCGCGACGGGTCTTAATCCCGTGTTGTCATCTGTAAAGGCCTGAGTAAAATGCTCAAACGACTTGAGTCATTTGGAACCTTATGGTTGTCGATGCTTGCAGCCGCTATCCCCGTTTTTCCATGGCTGTGCTGGTGTATGGATTTATGACTACTGCCATTGCCATTGCCATTGCATTACATGATCGCGAGGCACGCGTTCAGCGCCGGACCACTCAGTTTTGAGGGTACTGAATGTATATTACCGTAAGATGCGCTAAAGTTTTCTCCGCTATGGCTGTCATGTTTATAACAATCATTAATGCCTCTGCCATGGCGCTGATATCAAATGGTCTAGCCTCTTATTGTGCATTGGCGTCCATATCATTGTCATTTGATTCTTTTGTTGGACAATGCCATCAATCCAAAAATTCAAGCCAGTTACCGTTTATCACCATTCACTCGGCTATCCTTTTTCTAGTCTGTGCCGCTAGTTTACTTTATTGATATAGGCCCTTAGTACTCTTCCTTGAACGTCGGCCATTTTTTTGGAGCTGGGTATTCAATGCGACGATGGAGGCGCTGGACGATATCCAAGTAATCCGGTTCGTTTTCTGGGGTGAGCACTGCATGCCGAACCATAAAGTGCAGACAGACACAGGCGCAATTTGGTTTAAATTCACCAAGATGGATTGCATCCAGAATCTGGTCCATGCTCCACAAACGAAAGTCCTCAACTTCGGTATCGCAGGGTGCTGGTACCAAATCCTTTGGCAGCTCCAAGTCATATACGATCTGAAGCATATTCACGTTCGATGAGTATATGGGTACTAGCAGTTGATCATATAGATGAAGGATAATAAAAAGGGTCTTACCTGGGTTTCTGGCTGTGTCTGTTTGTCATCCTTCGAGAGCTTGGTATAAGAGATAGTTCCGACCGATATGGCATTCGCTGCAATATGGGCGGGGATTGTAGCCTCTTCCATGCACTCCTTGAGAACCGTATACTTTGGAGAGTGTCCAAACCCCATACCACCGGCGACCATATTGTCAAGCATACCTGGATATGTCGGCTTCGTGAGAGACCGGCGCGCGATCCACATTTGAACATCTCCTGACTTGGGTCCCGTACGTACAAATCCGTTCAAGTGAACACCATAGGCATGCACACCAAAAAGGCCGCAAGCGGAGCGTTCAATGGCCAGCGCAGCACCGCCCTTGGTGGTTGCCGGATCTTGGATGTGGGTGTAGACGCCGTAGAGCTCATTTCTCCAGCCAGAGAGACAGGCAAAGTTGTCGAGGTCGTTTCTCCACTGGTCCTGAAAGGCCATTGGAAGTATTGGGGCATTCCATCAGTAAGAGTCAGTCATATCTGCCTTTAAATCCTCTCAAAGAAAGCAGTGAATAAGGCAGCAGTGATATACGTACCAGCATTTGGGCGATGGCTTCCGATCGCGAGTCGTAATCCGAGAGCCAGGGCATGAACGAGACGGTGGTCTCGGTGATGTGGAAGACGGGTCTGGATTGTTGGTTAAAGGCGACAAGGTGCGGCACTAGACTTGTGTGGATACGGCCTATAGGAATGTCATCGACCACGAAAGCCAGGAACGAGAGCTGGTTCAACTTTGGGTCGGACGCATAAGGGAAGCTGTCGCACTGGTTAACGATGTCTAGCAGACTGAATCGAGGTCGGGATGGATCAGCAGCTGCCATTGGTGTTGGTAGTGATGATGTTGCGTGTGTTGAAGGATGTTGGAATCTCAAGATCTACGTTGCGAGTTTAAGGCAGCAGTGGTGGGCTCTGAGCATGATAATGCTTTCTTGAGTGCCTGAATCTGGGATCTGCAGTAGCTTCAGTGCAACAGCGTAAAAGATTCGCATTGTGTATGTACATACAATACTTTATTGAATGAAAGTGGTGGCTATCCGAGGCCTGGTGATCTGAATGTCAATGTCCATGACCAGCCCCTGCTCTTCCTTGAGAGCCAGAATGCTGTCTTGCTCCGCCGCCGTAGCGCTCAGTCCAAACCACCTCAGGGCCGACAGCTGAGGCATAATCTGTATGAAGCATGCGACTGACGGCCCCGTACACCACATCAAATTCAGTCTGCGTAATCTCTTCAGTACCACCAGAAGCGGTCCCTTCAAAGCCGCGTCCAGCAGGCCCCACCATCCAGACAGTTCCAATTGGCGAAGGTTCGGTGAAACGCGAGCCAGTTGCCCTACTTTCAGCTCCACATCCCAGTCGGCCGGTATTTGCCTTCCGATATTCAGACGCAGCTCTTGAAGAGCACCGCAGTGTGCCAGCGACTCCAAATCAAAAGAAACCGCAACGGTTCCCTCCAAATCAAGGCGAGTAAGTCGGGGAAGGGACCAGTTCCAGGTTAGGAATAGCGTCGTGAATGGACCAAAACTAGATAGGGCAGTGATTTCTTGAAGAGTCGTACGGAACGCGTCGCATGCATCCGTGAGGGCGGGCACCATGACCTTGTCGATACCGTAGAGACTAACGGACTTGAGGTCACTGCGGACGGAGTGCTGAAGCGAACCCGGCTTGGCCCATGAGAACATGCCCCCGTGAAAGACGGGCATCCGGACGGTTTGGAGCTGCGAAAGTCCGGCAAGGAAGGCTGGCTCCAACACTGCGGTGGAGGGAGGCGTAGTGAGTCGCATGAGAAGCACCTGACATCGCTGGAGCGGAAACTGGGAGAGGCGTTGGTCTGCACTGGTCCAACCCGCGACATCCACCACGCGTGGCTCCTCCATGGCTTGAACCAAGCACGATAGATCAATAGATTCCGATGTCTGGCTCATGGTGATCTTGATCTCTCGGAGCGAAGAAAAGTGCTGCCGATGTGAGACGATAAATTGACGGGCGCCAGAGACACCTTCTCGATTGTGTCTTCTGATCAGTTCCAGTCGGACGAGACTAGGGAGCTGACTGACCAGTGGCTGAAGGACAGACATGTTGTGGACCGGAAAGTTGATTGTGTGGATATGCTGAGGTGAATGGCCAACCAGCGCCAAGTGGACCTTGGCATGTAGCTGTAGAAGGTCAAGTGGCCGACGAAGCTGCTTGGCTTGCCCCGAAAAAGATTCTGCATCTCGTTTTGAAGTAGTATCGTCTGTTCCGGTTGCTACAGTCGACTGCTGACTAGATGACACTGTGTTCTGAATGCCATGGTGCCGGGGAAGAATCCAGGGTATGGTTTTGGAAAGCAGTTTTTCAGAATGGGACGTATAGAGGGAGAGGTAGTCGATTGTGGGCTTTGGAGGGGTCGAGACTCTGGATGATCCTTGGGAGAGTATATCCTGCAATGTGCTGTCAGCAGCTGACGAGCAGGCGAGGAGGAGTCGGAGGACCCCCGCCTTGCGGATTTGTCGATCGAACACGCTTTCGAGAGCTTCGATGTAGTCAAAGGGGTTTTGGTATAGGATTGGAGACGACAGACGGAAGAAGGTCTTGTTGGTGCGCTGAAGGGCACGTAGAGACTGGGGGTCTAGTGCAACAAACGAGAGCAAGTGTACAAGGCACTCTTCCGGGAGGCTGTCCATGTCTTGATAGATAAAGCTGGAGAAAGAGGGTAAGTGTAAGGGTGTGAACTCGAGGGAGAAGAGGAGGAGGATGTAATAGATTTGAGGATGTGAATGAGGATATGAATAAGGATGAGGATGGGGATGAGGATGAGGATGAGGATGGGGATGGATGAGCGCAGCAGGAAACGATGGAGCTTGTGAGTGGATGTGTTCTTTCAGGGTCAGGGCACCGCCACCTTTATCTTTCGACGCGACACCGACACGCGTCTGCACGCGAAACACGAAACACAATACGAAATATATGCGTACCTGCGCAAGCGATCCGACGCCCGACGCGTTTGATCAGTAGTCCTTCGTGGGCGAGTCGCCCTCAGGATGGGGATGCTGTGGTGATGGGTTGCATTTCCCCGCACTTTCCAAAATGGGTTCAGTTTATCGATCCCATAGTCAGTGTGAAAAGAAAGGAAAAAAAAAAAAGAGCCGGCGCTAGAGCCATTTGAGTGCATTGCATGGGGCGCTTTTGAGAGTGCAAATGTTACAGATATTTTGCATTGCTGTTTCGGCTGTCGGTGTCGTTCTTGTCCAAGGGACAAAGAGACAAAGAAGTGTCTGTGTCTAAATCTATATCCATGTCCATGTCGCTTTTCGAGTTATATAGCACATTTCAAGCGGCCGTCGCTTCTGACGCGCGAAAGAGAGAGCAAGAGATGAAAGATAATTGCATATGGTGCTTAGTCTATGGAGCATGCATGTATTGAACATAGACAGGGTCACCTTTGAAGCAAAGCTAATAAGCGTCGAACGCTGTACCATCAACATCATCTTCCATCCATCCATCCATCCATCCATCCATCTTTTCTTTCTTTTTTTTCTTTTCTTCTTTTTGGCACTCCTCGTCTGCGTCAGATTCATCACCCAAAAGTCCTCTCCCCCTCTCTCCCCTCTCTTCTCACACCTCTCTGTCTCTCGCCTCCTCCTCTTCTTACACCCTCCCGGCTTACTCTATGTGGACCCTGAGTCGCTAGACTTCCCTCTCCCTCTCTGCATTGGGATCGTCCATCAGTCATCGAACACCCTCACCACCACCACCGCCACCTTCCCACCTCTTCATTCTTTATATAGGTCCCTTCCAGCGGCTCCTATTCACTCCCAACAGCAGTCTCTCGCCTCCACCACCCATGCCTTCTCCTCCTTCGTCTCAAAGCAGGCGGCCGTCCTTTGCTAGGAGTCGCAGCCAGCAAACCTTTCACGACCCCACTCGTCAATTCAGCACCATCGGGGGCCCACCAACACCTTATCATGGACCTTCGCCCAGGAACCCAATTGGTTCCCGGCCACCCTTATCAATGCCCGTCGTGCAGGGGGGAGGAGCACCTTTGTCCCCCGCTACCATTAATAGCACGGCAGTATCTGCATTTGCCACCATGCACAAGGCATACCATTCAAAAGAGGATATCGACTTCTGGTCCATGCTCTACTCTCAGAGCCATATCCACACGCGTCAGGATTACCAGGTCTCGCAGGAGGATAGCGCAACCATTACCTCTGCGTCCTTGACCAAAGACGTCGGGCGGACTCAGGGCCCAGTCAAGGTCTGGCAAGTCCTGACAAAAACCGTGATTCGAGACACTAGCGGCAGCAACGGTCCCTCAAGTCCGCAGCGGTACCTGCCTCCCTTGCAGGAACACCATCGTCAGCGATTGCAGCAGCAACAGCAGCCGTATTTCCACTTTGAACGGCTCCCGATCATGGTTCAGACCTCAGCCGCAGCCCTGTCTCCGCATGGACAGCCATTCTCGATCGTATTCTTCTTCACGGTCGAGTCTGCTCCTGTAACGCTGTGGTATATCGAGTCGGCCTTCACTAGGTCGGCAACAATGTACGAACATATGGAACTCATGGGGACATTTCAGCCCAACAACCCGAACGATCCTATGTCCGTTTACGTTTACGAGACCCGCGAGTTTAGTATTGCTCAGCCGACTCACGAGGACACGGTGCTCGATATCCGTGTGCAGAGTCCAACAGGGGCGACTTTTGGCGAATGGTCCTATACCTTTGTCAACGAGGCTAAACCTGGGTCAGTATCTTCCGTATCATCAACCTCAGCGCATTATTCGCCACGCAGGGGCATCAGCAAGAGCAGTAGCATCAGCAAAAGCAGTAGCATCAGCAACATTAACGACGTCCCAGTAGCCGAGGCTCATCAACGCAGCTCAGACCAACTTGTAGAAACCTCGCCTTCCGCTTTCAATAAATCGGCCTCACCGGCGCTGCAATCACCTCTGGACAGCTATGATATGGTTGAATTAGACTCGCCCGTGTCACTGGAATACTTTCCTCAGCAGACACAGGAGTATCAACCATTATCTGTAGAGGACAAGGACCAGGACGAGCATCCGGCAGCTCATTCTTCATTGGATTCAAACACTAGCCAGCCAAGCCCACACACATCTCTACCGACACTTGTGCAATATCATCTCGAGGACGATTCAGGAGACGAAGGCGAGGAAGAGGACGACGACAACAAGGAGGCAATGACTGGGAGCAGCTTTACAGAAGAGCCTGACGCGGGAGAGCACTTTATGCAGGCAACCTCCGAATTTTTCTCGAAGATGGGGTAAGTATCAGAAGGCGTAAATGCCTTGTCGTTCGCTGCTCTTCGTACTGCCGCTCAAAGGCATCTTTTTTGTACTGAGTATCCTTGCAACTATTATCTAACTACATCTTCCTTTTGTCACATGCGCTGCATAGATACTGGCTGTATAACTCCAGAGTTGTTCAGTACATTGCGCGAGACGAACGCAGCAGAATAAAAACTGTGTTTCAGACGGAAGACATCTGGCTCCTGGGAGTGTGCTACAGTTTTGAACGTAAGTTTTTTTGGTCAAGATTCTATAGACAAGTACGCCGCATATGCATCCACTCATTTTGCTGCATTGCATTATCCTTGGAATATTGTATAGCCATCGAGCCTACATGCTCCCTCCCGGAGGCACCACGGTCTAGAAAGATATCGGTACTACAACCACAGGTGTCATCTAGCCGCGGAGGGGATTCGAAAAGCAGCATTCTAAACGGCCATGGCTCGCTCGCAGATGCCCCTCGGGACTTTAAGCGGGGGTGGGAGCGCAAAGTCGCTCAGGTCATGATATCTCCCAGGCTCACGACAGATAACGATCCCATTCTCACTCACAACACAACAGAAGAAGGGCCCGAAGCAAGCCAAGGTCGATCGCGGAGCAAGGAGAGGCACATAGAACGACAGAGGGAGAAAGAGTTGGCGAAAGCAAAGAAGTTAGCCCAGGCCAAGGAGCGCGAGCTCGAACGGGAGCAGAAAATTGCACAAGAAAAAGAGAGAGCAAAGGAGAAGGCGCGATCAAAGGACCAGGAACGGCTGCAGAAACTCAAGGCAAAAATATCGCATCCTCAATTCGACAGGACCAATGTACGCGAAGGAACCAGAGACCTCTCGGAATTGACCTCAGGCGACTTAAAAGAAAGCGATGGCATTGTAGCGCAGTCAGACCGCGACCGAAAATCGCATTCCATACACGGATATCAACGTGTGGAGAAACCGCATATAGGCTTGGGACTGACGGCCACGCCCGTTGATCCAAAACAGAGTGTTATCAAGCGGATGAGATCCATGTCGATTCTTCCCAAGGCGCCGGTCGCTGCCTTTGATCGCTTTGCGCAAAAGGTGAGCACACAGGAATCGCAGCCTCGTGTTCGTCCTGACCGGACGCATCAATCAAGGTCCCAATCCATCTCTGGTATTTCCATTTTCTCGCAACGATCCGGAGGCACCTCGTCTTTTTCAGGCTCGTCCAGGACGCGTCCAAGCTCACCAACACCGCCATCCTCTCTCAAAACATCCATGAGCGTTTATACGGCCCTCGCTATCAGCCCTAAGACAACGGCACCATCAAAAATGGCAAATCTCAACCTAAGTCAGAAAAAGCTACCGGATCTTCCATCTCCATCCCTGGATGATATATCCGATATACCCACTTACCGATACCAGGATGCAAATCAAGAGGACTACGACGATTCTGACGACGATATGCTAGCATATGCGCCCCCTGTTCCGGACAAGAGCGCCGAGGGCCAAGTAAACGCATCGCATGCCTTGACCGTGGATATAAACTCAGGGCGCCGGAGGAGAACCATATCCAGCTTCTTATCCAAAGATCCAAAGCTCCCTTCTACTGGTGGTAATGGGGTCCTAAAGACCCTTGTAAATGTGAGTAAGATTTCTTTGCGACCAAAGGCAGAAGATGTGGCATCGATGCCGAGACAAACCCCCCCCAGCGCAGACATCGCCGCCTCTTCAACGGCCTTTTCATTTGGAATGAAACCTACAGGAAAGGAGGGGTCTTCTTCTACTCCAAAGAAATGGGGTGTGACCAAGAATATGCAAAACTGGATCGACCGCCGACTCTCTTCCAGTAACCTTCACCAGCAGTACTTCATTGCGGCGACGGATGAGCCCGTTCCACCTGTTTCGAGGGAGATTACCCTTTCTTCACCCATTTCGAGGGAGATTGCCCATTCTCCACCCAGCAGCCCAGTGCAAACAGAAGCAGGAAACGTCGGGTCCAATATTTACAATCGCCCTCAAGAGAAGGACCCTCAAGTTCAGAAGGTGCGCGCACGCAAGAAGAGTTCAATCTTCTCGACCACATCCACCTCTTCAACAGTTCCGTTTCCAGCAAAGTCGGTTCTCAAATCGACCTCTACATATAGTCCCCCTTCCAGTAAAGGACGGGCTGTTCCGCGATCACCCACGCAGCAGACAAGGCAATCGTTCGACTTTAATGCGCCAAAGGACACTCATTATAATCAAGAGACAACCCTAGCAACAGGATCACCATGCGCAACTGCACCTGTACCTGAAGCGACTGTCAACATGGCTTCTTTGGTCCAACCAGTCTTGGACAATCCACACCCGAGCCGCTCGACAGACGCAGAGGTGCGCGGCATTAAAGTGACTCCATCGCAAGATCCAGTGTCCTTCATGGAGCTCGTTGTACTTCCTCCACTACCTCCTGAATCGCCAACAGAGACGTTTGTCTTGCTGGACCAGGAAAAAAATGCATCGCTAGTCTCTTTGGAGCGGGTACTCGAAGAGTCGGTCCCTGTGACGACATCAAACACAGATAGCGATGTACCATGCAACACCTTACCCAGTCAAGGCACCCAGGACACCCTCTTCAATGAGGATCCCATTCGACTGGAAAATAGGAGACTTTTTGAGCAACTTGCTGCGTTCTCTAGCGACAAAGGGGAGGTTATCTCAAATCTCAGGTCAGAATGGGAGTCGCTTTGGCCAAGCAACCTTGACGCGAATGGAAGTACCAGTTCTGTCGCTGCCGACTTTGTGCATGTCAGGAAGGTCGAGAATGATCGTTCTGTCGACCCGAAGCAGGACGAGGCTTCACAGCGGGATCGGGAGCGCGAACGTATCCGTAAGATTGGAAGCGGATATATTAAGATCAAGAATACCAGACTCGATATCGTTGCCCCTCAGCCAAAGGTGCCTGTTCAACTCAAAAGTAAAGCGTTCCAAGAAGATACCACAGTGAATATGCCCGCACCGAAATCCTTGAACAAATCCGCCTCTTTTTCTGACGACAAGGGCCGCCTGCCCGATCTTCCATCTACGGCGTCTACAGCGCTTTCAATACAAGCGTTGCCTTCCTCGCCCAGGTCGTCGTTGGACAAGTCATGGAAAGCGGTCTCGTCTCGACCGCATTCTCCTAAACATTCCGCCGTCTTCACCCAGCCCTTCACAGCCACCTCTGTCCACTCTGCAGGTGCTCTGCCAGGCACTACAGAGTCTTTTAAAGGGAAGGCCAATGATGATGGGAAATCGCCTGCAGATATCGAGAGTTCTTGCAAGAACGAGGAACAGCTACCTTCAACTCACTTACCATCCACGCAAGGCGCAATGGACAAGACTGATAAGGCCAGTGCCCTTTCAGCAAACCAGAGCACGCTAGTGCAGTTCATGTCGGATTTTCAGTCAAAACTGTGGTTTACGTATCGAAAGGATATGGCCCGCATGGAACCATCTTTCTATACCTCGGATGCAGGCTGGGGTTGCATGATGCGGACGGGACAGAGCCTGGTAGCGCAAGCGTTTGTTCATGTTATTTTAGGCCGCGGTAATTGTTGATTTGTTTAGTCGACGCTCTCCTGGACGAGGAGCCTATTGTTTCTTGACTATTGCAATTGCCGACTAACACGGTATCTTTCTTCTCCTCGGGCAATTTAATTATCAGACTGGCGTGTTAATGTTCCATCGCCCGAGGAACACGCCCAAAAGTACCGGACTTTGCTGAGTTGGTTTGCTGACGAGCCAGAGTGGCCCTACAGCATCCACAACATTGCAAAAGCAGGACAGGCATTGGACAAACGAGTAGGCGAGTGGTTTGGACCATCCACTGCAGCCCATGCCTTCAAGTACGTATCATTTCTGGTAGCTCCTTCATATTTTATATCACCTGAAGATACATCCAAAGTACCAAGTAGGGCAGCTGTTGGCACTGGGTACCTTCTCGTGAAAAATATTTATTTAACCGTATATCATCTGCTTGTAGACGCCTCTCGCAGCGGCACCAAGATTGCCCCCTTACGATCATGGTCCCAATGGACAACTCCATTCGCACGTCCGATATCATTCATGCAGCATTGTCAGCAGACATGGATAAAGTCGGAGTCATGCCTGAACATCAAGATTCCAGCGATTCCGAAAAATGGAAGCCGGTCTTGTTGTTGATGCCTGCTCGTTTCGGGCTGGACAAGTTAACGGAAAGATACATAGGTAACCTGCGGAAACTGTTCACCTTGCCCCAGTTCCTCGGTATAGCCGGCGGCAGACCTGGCCGCTCGCTTTACTTTGTTGGAAGCCAAGGTATGTATTTTTTTTTATTTCCTTGAGCAGAGTGCGAAAGCTTCTATGGTGATTTTATGAGAGCGGGTCTAATTAATATCACAATTCCTATTAGGCAACGAACTTTTTTATTTGGATCCACACACTGTCAAGGCTCGTGCTCTTCACGATGAGTTATTAAACTACCCTGCAGCGGTATGAATGAAAAAATAATAATCGGGTGTTTACAGGCGCGAAGGAGATATCTTATTGAATACTTATACATTTACTCTTTTGAACCTTCCGAATATTAGAGCTACCATTGCAATGTGGTTCGATCGATGGATATTTTGGAGATGGACCCTTCAATGATGCTCGGGTTCCTGATAGAATCAGCGAAAGATTTGGCTAATCTGTCCTCTCGTCTGAAGAACGACATGGAGCGAGGATACCCTCTTCTGACGATTATTGAGGATGTTTCTCTGGGTATCCATAAAGAGGCGAGTCATAACAACGAGATGGATGCAACCCCAGTGCTGGACGAACCCTCCAACGTGACCATCGCCGTAGACCTTATAGATGTCCCAGTGGCGGCGGTGGAGGTCCCAGCAGTGCCTACAAACACCTCGGTAGCGCTCGCTCAGGCCCCAACGGTGCCTGTCGAGGCTCCAGAAGCTTTAGTTGAGGTCCAAGCGGTGCTTGTGGAGGTCTCAGTGCCATCTACAGAGGCTTTAGAGATGCCCATCGAGATCCCAACAGCGCCCATTGAGACCTTAGCAGCGCTCACAAAGGCTCCAGAGAGGCCCATTGAGGCCTCAGCAGTGCACACAGACATCTCGGTAGCACTCACTGAAGTCCCAACGGTGCCTGTCGAGATTCCAGTAGCGCTCACAAAGGCTCCAGAGACGCCCATCGAAACCTCAGCAGCGCCCATCAAGATCCCAGTAGCGCCCATAGAGACCCCAGCAGCGCCCACAAAGACCTTGTTGGCGCTCGTTGACGTCCCAACGGTGCCTATCGAGGCTCCAGAAATTCCAGTTGAGGTTCAAGCGGTGACTATGGAGGTCCCAGTGCCGTCCACAGAGGCTCTAAAGGCGCCCATCGAGATCCTATCAGCGCCCATTGAGACCCCAGCAGCGTCCACAGAGGTTCCAGAGATGCCCATTGAGGCTTCAGCATCGCTCACAAAGACCTCGTTAGCGCTCGCTGAAGTCCTAACAGCGCCCATTGAGATCCCAGAAACGCCCATCGAGACCCCAGTGGCGCCTATTGAGATTCCAGAAGTGCCCATAGAAGTTCTAGAGATGCCTATCGAGACCCCAGCAAATCCCATCGAGACTCCAGTAGCGCCCATCAAGATCCCAGCGGCGCCTATCGAGATCCCAGAAGTGCCCATCGAGACTCCAGTAACACCCATCGAGATCCCAGCGGCGCCTATCAAGATCCCAGAAGTGCTCATCGAGACCCCAGCAGCGCCCATCGAGACCCCAGCAGCGCCCATCGAGACCCCAGCGGCGCCTATCGAGACCCCAGAAGTGCCCATCGAGGCCCTAACAGTGCCTATAGAGGTTCTAGAGATGCCCATCAAGATCCCAACACTACCCATAGAAGTCTCAACAGCGCGCGTAGAGGTCCCGGTTACAGCAGCAGCGAGCGCGTCACAGACGGTGTCGACCCCCGAGCCCAGCATCATCCGGGAATTTGAGGTTGATTCTCAGGAAGAGCAGGAGGAGATCGACAGTTTTCATGACATGATGGCTGCTATCATTTTTGATGATGATGGGATTGATATTGTCCCTGATGCGGAGGCCAGTGCAGAGACAAGCGATTTGGGTATGCAGGATCTACCAGAGGAAGAGAACGAAGATGAGGCAGAGGAGATGGTGGAGGTTATGTTGGAGGAAGAGAAGGAGGAGTCCCCGGAATCAAGACCGAGACATGAGATGAAGAGGATTACGAAGGCTCTGAGGAAAGAGATCCGGGTGAGAAGAAGGAGCAAGGAAAAGAAGGCGCTTGAGCACACGCACGCGCACCAGGATGGCTACGTGAGCCATGATGACACGCAGGGCAGGGATACGATCTCTGTCTACAGCTTTGATTCTGACCACTCGCTGTAGCATGTCTTGTAACAATAATATGTGTAGTCTACCACCTTTCAATGAAATTTTATTGGTTACTTGAAACGCGTTTTTTTTCTTTTTACATCTGAGACTTGAACCCTTTTTCTTTCACGATATGATCATTCCTATTACACAATTGGTGGCGCCCTTTCTGCATACCCTGCAGCTTCTTTCTCACTCGATAGCGATATGGTCTCTCCTCCTCACTTTATCGTAACTCGATTGTCTCTCATAACACTCTATCGCATCTAACAGCTGTACCGCTTACATTTTCGAATAGCGCACGCTTTCTATATTATTGCTTGCTTGACTATGCGCCTTCCACTACTCTCAGCCACGTTAGGCACCGGGATCCTATTAAGGTAGGCCACTGTCCTCCATACTCTAGGAACACAGTAGGATCAGGCCATCAATCGCTTTTTTTATGATCCGTTATTTCTCTTGTACAAACGATAGTCTTGCTGCATTCACCGAAGCAATCAAGGTCAAAGGCCAGGTCTTTGGGGTGAAGTTCCGAGGTCGAGTAATGCGTGGTAAGAGCCATCCAATGCAAGGAAAAGCAGGATAAAAAATAACAGTTGACGATTACGGCCCTTACGCGTTTTCCTGCTATGTCACTCTGTAACCTCCAGGTGTATCCACTAAGACAAGGGTTCTATTGAGCGGTGGATCGCTTGAGGCGCAAGTCCACGAGGACGGATCGTTTGTATTGTACGCTACCTTGTCTGCAATGTCGAGTGTCTTTGCAGTTGGAATGAATAATCAACAGTACATGTCTTTGGCGACTTTGCCTATACGTCTCAACTCGATAGTCCGGATGTGCCCATTGGAACTTACTTCCTTAAGGTCCACAGTCCTCATCTTACTTATCCCAAGGTTCGAGTACTTGAAAAGCAACCTGCAGTGGGAGGGAATAAGAACAACTTTTACCACGTCGTTAGTGCTCAGGATGCTTCTTCGCTTTGCTGCTAATACTCCGCGCATGTCTTCTGCTTTTGTGTTGTAGGCACGCCTTGCAGTGACGGCAAGCGGTGTTCGAGCGACACGATTCAGTCTCAGCAATCATTTTGCGAGTCCCCAACAGGAGCTACCGTATCCATTAGTTCTCAGACCACATCCAAGACCTGGACATTACATTGTGAGTAACAGAGGTCCGTGGTAGCGCAACGCATAGATCATACGATGATACGTTTGACTGATACTGTAACGCTCTTCTTCCCATGCGGCTATTCTGTATTCTGTTTGGTACACAGGCCCTAGAGGCCGCCAAAGTAGCCGGATGGTTTGTGAATCCGATGCTGTTGATGTCGAGTTTCAGTCTCCTTATGGTATGTCCAATAATACAACTGCGAATAAGCGATAAGCGCTTCAGCTTTTTTTTTTTTTTTTTTTTGTCCTTTGGCCTTAGGAGAGCATCTGCAACGGACTCACATATCATCTGTTCCATCTCTGCACAGCTGCTTTTGATGCCCAGAATTATAGCGAACCTCGGTATGGTATTATGTTTTTTTTCTGGCATATCTCTTAACTATTAAGCGAAGGATATAAGCTGAATAACTCAACTCTCGATTGTCCGTCGCATTTTAGATGAAGAAGCCTTGCATGCCCTTCGATCCTCTTACGATTCGGCACCTGATACTTCGCTGCCTGCTGTTCAGCGCCCACTTGAACCTGTAAGGAAGCAACAGACGATGGTGTCGCCGCACCGTATTCTCCCACAGCAGTACCAACCGCAAATGAAGGACAGGATACTGGAGCAAAATCCGCGCAGCTTCTTCCAGACAAAGAACCAAAGCGACTTCGGATCGTCCTCTCTTCCGTACCAACGATCGCACGTTCCAGTCCAGTCCAAGAAGTTGGAATAAGCGCCTCCACATTCGTCATTTCCTTTTTTTTTTTTAATCCACTTGACCTCGGCAGTGTAATATTAGTGTCAGCGATTTAATATAGTGATGGCACTTTTCGCAAAAAGACTGCCACTTAATGTCTCTGCGTGCCCTTTTTGCCACTCAACTCACGCGAAACATGATCCTGATTCACCTCTTTGGCAGACATATCTGATGCTCAGAAATGGCGAGTAAAAGTCAGTTCAAAGGACAGGCGCCTCCCCATGTCGATGTGGATGCTTCCGGTGTGTTCAGTGCGCCTGTCTAAGTCGCGTCTTTGGCTACAAAAAAAAAGGGGGAGAGAAGTAAGCGCCCGACTGGTTTCCATAATTGGATGCGCCCCTGCATGATTCTGACCAATCAAATGCTTTTTGCATAGTAGGCCAGCCTCAACCCATCATCCGTTGACATCCCTGAAGACAATTAACTTCTTTCATCCACTCATTCTCGCCCCACTCACTCATCAAGGAACATGCAGGCCATCAAGTGCGTTGTCGTCGGAGGTAAGCATCGCATCATCATCATCATCGTCATCATCATCACCACCGCCACCATCCCATCATCATCATCGCCACCACTGTACTCATCATCTCCTTCCATATGTCCTACTCTCGTTGCTGGAGTCTTGTCTGAACCAATACTAATCCTTGCTCCCATCATGCTGTACCACTCTCATCTTCTAAAATAGACGGTGCTGTCGGAAAGGTAAGAACTTATGACCAAGACACAGGTTGAAGTTGATGCGATCCATGCGTCCGCAGCGCATCTCCTGCCTCCAAGACGACGACTCGTAGACTCGGATTCGGCTATTGTTTTTATTTGTCGCGATTATGGCTAACGCATTCTCTTGAACATCTCTGATTGCACCTACCCTATGCTTAACAGACTTGTCTCTTGATCAGCTATACCACAAATGCCTTCCCCGGGGAGTACATTCCCACTGTGTAGGTGTCCCCTTGTGTTTTGTAGCAGATGGCTTTTCATGAATGATGGAAGCAATGCTGAATACTGATTTCGCTGCGTGCCTGTATGTGCTGATGAGATAACCACGTACTAACAGCTTTCATAAAACAATCGTCTTTATAGCTTTGACAACTACTCTGCCAACATCATGGTCGATGGAAAGCCCATCAGTCTCGGTCTCTGGGATACAGCTGGTAATGTCCTTATTGTTTTTGGACCGGGAGCGACCTGGATGTACTGGATGAAGTCTTGAAACTGACAATTTTTCGTGCTCTTTTCCATGCTTTCTTCCATCGCATTCTAGGCCAGGAGGATTATGATCGACTTCGTCCACTCTCATACCCGCAGACTGATGTCTTTTTGATCTGCTTCTCCTTGGTCAGTCCTCCATCTTTCGAGAACGTCAAGACAAAGGTAAGCGATGCACTTCTTTTCCTCTCTGGGGTTCAGCTTTTTCTGTAACCAATCTTCTCTAATGCCTGTGCAATGGTCCAAATTAATCGCCGAATAGTGGAACCCTGAGATCAGTCATCACGCACCCAACGTACCCACCATCCTTGTTGGAACAAAGCTCGATTTGCGTGAGGATAAGGACACATTGGACAAGCTGCGCGAGAAGCGCATGATGCCAATCTCATACCCTCAGGGCCTGCAGATGGCCAAGGAGATTTCCGCTGTGCGCTACCTCGAGTGCTCAGCGCTGACTCAGAAGGGCCTGAAGAACGTCTTTGACGAAGCAATTCGTGCGGTGCTCTGCCCCGTCCAGCCCTCGAAGAGATCGAAGAAGTGCCTCATTTTGTAAGAGTATGAATGAACACGGAACTCCCATATTTAAAGAACCCTTCCTCCCGAACAACGCACACGCCGGATAATTATAATAAATAAAATAAATATATCGTGAACCACCAAGCAATGCTTCTTGGAGCGGCCGATACTTGTTACAATATGTCCATCTTGGTGCCATGGGTCTGGCGAGCCGCAAAACGAACTCTCTTCGACGATATCATGGTATAATAGCTGGTTTGTGACAGTTAAGCATATATAGCGATGTTACTTTTTGATTCTTCAATGTCAACTCTTCCTATCATGTTGAAGCTAGTAGGGACACGGGCTAGGTTGAGACAGGTTGGTTTTACCCTGCTGATGAAATGTTGTTGCAATAGTAATTGAACTTAGTACGAGAGGAACCGTTCATTCGGATAATTGATATTTGGGCCTGCCTGAGCAGACAATGGCTCGGAGCTATCATCCGTTGAATTATGGCTGAACGCCTCCAAGTCGGAATTCGTGCTAGAACACGAAGATTGGGTGATCTTGTAGAGGGAAATGCTTTATAAGGCTCTACTAATGATAATTTCAAAATATTGAAAGGAATAAATCCACTGCAGACGACTGTTATGCAACGAGATACTGTGAGCAATCTGCGAAAATCAAAGAACAGAAGAAGCAACAAATGAATCGTCTAGCAGTTCGAACAACGACGATGGTATGTTGAGGGAGAGATAAAGAGAGATACAGACAGAGCGAAAGGGTTGCAGAGACGTGGTCCGCCAAGCTTCATTTTCATGTGCACATGCGCATATGGGGTTGGGGAGGGAGCCGACCTTACCTGCTGATCCTCTTGAAGGCTTTGTTTTGTGTGGTGCTGCCTCTCTGGCGCTCGTATGAAAGGCCGCCGCGCCTTAAGCTAGAGGCAAAAAAGGGACATGGGGACAGAAAAAAATTGACACTGTCGAGTTCCGACCCCTAAGTCCTTGGGAAGAAAAAAGGTGTACTTATAGCCAAGTGTCGCCACTATTTCATGCCGAATCAACAGCTAATGAATGAATGGGCTCCAGTAAACCCCATGTTGGCGGCGAGTGATGGATGGCAAGTTGATATCGTGTTTCGAATGAGAGACATCGGTTGCTTTGGAGGAAGAGGTAGTAGAGGTGGCGGTTTCTTGAGCGGCCAGGGCCTTAATCCTAGTTTTGGTCCTGGTCCTGGTCCTGGTCCTAAGCATGGGCATTGTCGAGGGAGCGATCGAGCAAGAAAAACCCCCCTAGCCAAGCGAACATCTGCCAGAGATGTATAGAATTGAGCGCACGAAGCAAGGGATCGTGCTGCAAAAAGCCGCTGAGATAATGAAAGAAAGATGGAACCAGGACTGAGCCGGCTCTTTCACTTCCATCAGTTCGCAAACAAGGTTATTGGCAAAGATATAGGCGACGGGCGACGTTTGAGGGATGGTTCATAAACCAGAAGTTGAACGAACGCGTACAGACAATGTTATCACAACTGAACCGACCCTGAATGTTAGACAATTGAGCCGATAGAGCAGTGAAACAAATAATGTCCACAGCAGCAAAGCACTGCCGACCTCACATTTCTTCGCAGATAGTCAGGGCCGATTTTGGTGTAGCTCAGGGTAGCTTCAATTTATTCCGTTTCTTAAACTGTGCCGTGCGTTCACTCTTGATCCGTGTTGCAGACACCTTTGTCCCGCCATGTTCCCCAGATAAGAATATGTTGACAATTTAGACCCAAGTCCAAGTCCAGGTCCAGATCCAGGTCCATATCCAAGTCCAGGCCCTTGTCCATGTCCAGATCCATGTTCATGTCCATACAAAGCTCGTAGTTGGCATCAGGGTGTAAACATGGAAACCGTAATAAGCATCAGAAAGAAATCGATTAACATGGAGCCTCAAAGGTAGAAAGAAGAGGTAAAACAATAAAGACAGCAATAAGATGGGCGAGAGTGGTCCGCTCCATGGCCTCAATACACTGGCGGGTATCTGATAGATTGCCACCAGTGCAAGAAACCACTGTTGCGGCCTTGGCTCCACAACGATCAAGCCACACAGGCCGCGATTGAGAAGTCCACTTTACCACCATCGGAAAGAACAGCCCGCAAACCCCCAGCCTTGTACCGTTACGAGTCCTCTGTGGATATTGCCCCATGGGCTTAGCATCCCACATTTGTTGGTGTCGTAAAAGTAGGCAAGACTGAGTCCCTGCATAAACCCGGATCTTCACATGTAAAGATACAGGCTGTTGAAGGCGGCTGTCGAAGCAGGTGGAATAATAGAAAAGCTAAATAAATGGGGGTTCCATGATGCTTAAGACGAATACGCGTACCTTGAGTGCTTGGCAGATGGAACTGTTGATGGCGCGATTCAAAGAATGGCGGCAGGGTGGTGATGGATTGGAGTCTCTTACATTAAAGCAAGCAAGGGTGTAAGCCACTAGAATTAGGAACTAATCCATACCTTTTCAAATTGAAAGTTAGATATGCCATGTCGCGTAGACCTCTCTCTCCCCCATAGACTCGATGAATTCAAGAGCCAGAAAAATAAAAAAATAAAATCTTTTCTCTGTCTTTCTCTCTCATTCATTCTCCCTCTCTTTATCTGTCTCTATTACCACTACTTACCGCAATCCTACTCTGAAACCCCTACAGTATGCCCATGTGCGAAAAGTGCAAGAAAAGCCACGACCGCCAGACCTACTACGCATGCTCGAAAAGGTATTTAGAGGCCAAGGCGAGGTAAAGCTTTATCACAGTCAAGACAAAGTATCAGTCGATGTTAACGGTGCCACATACCCTGAGGTGCACCTGAATTCTCTCAATCCTTCAGACATGCCTCCCAGGAGCTGCTGATACAGAAGGTACGGACAAAAAAAAAAACTGTAGAAGTGCGTGGGGAGCCTGGGAGAGGACGGAAACAGCGTGGGGAAGAAGGGCGGATGAGCTGAGATAAGACACGGAACAGCGCAGGAAGGAAATAAAGAAGAAAGACATGAGCGAAGAATGAGAGGTTGCGCGGAAAGGCGATACAGAGGAGACGCATATTTTATGCACATAAAAGAGAATGAGAGAGACGCCAGACTTTGCTCAAATACTGCAGCTACGAAAAAGCAGCTCAGCAGGAGGGCGCTGCAAGATGAGTGCGGAAGCCGAGTGAGGACAAGAGAGAGTATCAGTTAAGAAGCGAGGATGGGGACTGGCGTTCTGTCACAGCCGCCATCTTTCCCTCATGGAGGGCCATGCCACACCCTTCTTTCCCTGAAGAGTGCAGCGAGTCGCCATATCCAACTTTCGCTCCTGAAGACGAAGTGGAAGAGAAGAAGTTATGGACCAGGGCAAGGTGAAGGGATTCATGCTTTATTTTTTTCTTTTATATTTGTGCCATATTGGACCCACTCCAGTACTCTTTGTGTCTTGTATAGTCTTTTCTCTGGTTTAAACTGCACACATCATTAAGGACGGCAGATGTGGTGGAACGGGTGTGATGTGTGCGATGCGTGTGTGAGATACGTGAAGCGCACATCTTTTTTTGAACGCGTTCAGGTGTGTTATCGAGTTATCCAGAGCAATCATAATAAAGAGGTACTTTAAGCAATTCAATTATAACATTTAGGCCACTTCCATTTTATTCAAGGCTAATAAGCTATATAATACTCCAAGCTCCAGGTCGGGGCTATAAAAACCCCTACCGGGAGCATAATAGACAACAACGCTCTTTTGTCTCCTTGACTCATACTCAGGTACATAAAACATCACAAGAGGCCTTCTTTCGAATGGTTTCGATTTCTACGACGACATAGAGCCCATCATCAATGTCAGGCCACTCCAACAAACACTGCAGCAGCATCTGGCGACCAAGGACGACATCGCATCCCTCCTGTCACAAAACCACTTGCAGCAGCAGCATACAAAGTTCCTCGGATCTCGTCAGGTACGTGGAGTGCTCCGTCAATGAGCACAAGGCGTGTCACGCAGCCCCGTCCACCCTGAACCATCAAACAAAGAAGGTTGTGCGTATCAACCGCAGTACCCTGGCGAGGACTATGCGGCTTTCGAGCAACAGTCCTCGGCATCCGCGCCATTGACGATTTCTATACGGCTTCGGGAATCCTCGGGACGATCTGCCTACCGACGAACGCTCACGAGATGTACACGTTCCTGTCCGGGGAGTCGTTGTCACTCCTGTTCCGCTACAAGATGAGGCGGTTCTCAGCTCAACGCAACGTACGATGGTTTGCTGGACATTAGCTAACGCTTAGATTGCTGTTCTCCGCACCCTTCTTTCTCTAGGCACATATGGTTGAGTTTATGGGGCATCTTCTGAGACAGAGAGCCAGCGCGAGGATGCATACACCGGCAAACTCCCCTGCGCTGCGCCCGCAAACGTCTAGCCTGTTTACGCCGTCAAGGAAACGCACCATGCTGGCACGTGAGGACGCCTCGTCTTCTCCAACTCTGAGACCACGCTTGAAGATGCAATAAACCGATAGATATCCCAACCGTGTAGCAAACTAAGAGTGCCTGAGGTCGTTGGATGAGGATGAACGAGACAGAAAGCTTTTATTCATGCTAGCGATCCTTGTTGTTGTCTGTCCACGGTGCTTTTGCTATCTGTTAATAGTTCCTATTTCTGTCTGTTCGTGATTCCTGGCGAGGCTAGTCTGTTGTCCTATCGTCGTGTAGTCGTGCTCCTGACCAGAACCTTCTTGCTGCCTGCATTCACCGCCTGCTGTCCCTTGCGCCCTCTGTTCTGGTTGTTATATTGCCCTTGCATCATCTGTACGGTATATCTGCACCATGTACCTATGGAGTATGGTGCTGGTAGCGCAGAAGATTCAGGTCAAGGTTTATGGAGGAGCAGATCTTTATTCGATGAAGGTGGTCTAAGATCATATCTACAACCTTAAAAGCGGTGGACGCAGCTATAGGGTGCACCTCCATTACGGTTGATATAGCTGCAGGCAGTGTCTAGTGTTGGAATCATTGGATGCAAAATTCCTAGCTGAGAAGGAGTCTGGACGGCAACTAATTCACGGTCATGTCCAAGAGTGATCCCTCTGATTACAGCGCCCATATGTCCTGTCTTGGCCCATGATTCCTGGCTATGGATCTGATGCGCTGAGAGAAGTAGAGTGGAAGGGACCGGGGAGGAAGATCCCCAGCCCTCTACGCGTTATGGCCTAATAAGGAAATCGTAAATTGGCAGGCGACCTTACAGTTAGAGAGGGCTGGGGTCGACTACCTCGGGCTCAGCTGCAGCATCGCGGATGAGTATGAACATGACATGATTGCGATCATGAACCAACCATACCACCATGATCGCAGAAACGAGCTGCATCGGATGATGCATTGATCCGATGGGGTTGGGATGCACATCCGGATGGCCCAATCTCTTGAGAAGGGGGGTGACAAAGTGGAGAAGAGACCCAGTTATCGTATTTTTTTCAGCAATGCCATTCGTTAGTTATCCTTTTCCCTCCCTCTCCATTGGTCATCTCTTTCTGCGTCAACAACATCCATTCGATAGCTCCTCATTCGGTGCCATGCACACATCCACACGCATACATCCATACGCACACAACCACACGCACACACACTGATCCATGCACTCCATGTCTGACATGAAAGGCATACCAGCGTCCTGAACTAAAGTTTAAAGCGGAGGATTCGAGGTCACACTGGCAAACAAGTGTGCTGGAAATCCATATCTAATGAATACTGCTTTGAAACAAGGCCCCATTGGCACATTCACAGCGCGACGTGCCAAGGTCGCGTTCGTTCTCTTTCTCTTTCCTCCCTTTCTTGTGTCTGCGTCTGGACCTCCCTCTCCGAAGACAATGCCGAGCATCGCCACTCCATCGCTCCTGGTCGGCCTGCATCTGCTGGTCCTGATTGCCATCGCAGCCCAATGGAACAGGGTCCAACCGCTTCCGTATATGGTGCGTTTGCTGCAGAAACAAAGGGCGCTTGGTTTGGGCACAGGACCATTTGAGATGCTAAGGCGCCGACTGACTCGACACCATGTCTTTTTTTTTGTTGGCATCAGGATGAGATATTTCACATTCCACAGGCGCAGCGATACTGTCAAGGCGACTTGTGGGCCTGGGACCCAAAGATCACTACCCCTCCTGGCCTGTGAGTGCGATATCAATGTCGATCCGCACTCCTGGTGCTTTTCGGTCTAGGATGTCAATCAACACTAGGGCTTGATCTGACTGGATCTCTGCTGATTTGTTCTTTGCTTTATAGATATGTTATCAGCGTTCTCCTCCTTGCAGCCAAATTAGGCGTTTGCACAGCGTATCTTCTTCGCCTCACCAACCTGATTTATCCTATCGTCATCCTCTTCACTATCATGGCCCTGCTCAAGGAATTCCATCCTCATATGAGTCGAGCCGACCGATACAATGCCGCTGCAGTCATCATTTGCTTCCCCGTTCTGTATTTCTTCAACTTCATGTACTATACCGACGGCGGAAGTGCAGCATTTATCCTGCTATCCTGGCTGGCGGCCAAGAAACGTCTGCATCTCCTCGCAGCATTAGTAAGAGCAAATCAATATGGGTAGCCTGTACCAGTGCATGTGTTCTAGTATCCTTGTTTTTAAGAGGTATATGCTGACTATGTTCAATATGCTTGAATGCACTGTGCTAGGGCTCTGCGGTGGCCGTGACCTTCAGGCAAACAAATATCGTATGGGCACTTTTCATTCTCGGAACGGCACTGCTGGATCTTGCGAACACAACCGAGCGTCGCCAATTCGACCCAAAGGCCGCGTTCGTTCAATCGCCCTTGCAGCTTGTTCGTTCCATAATCGGGTTCGTACGCATGCTGTTATCGCAACTGCCAACAGTACTAGGCATGGCCATGCCCTACCTGGGTCTCCTTGCAGGATTTGCAGCGTTTGTCAAGTGGAACGACGGCATTGTCCTAGGTATGAACGCATTTGGACTTCTCATCCTTGCCCTGTAGCAATAATTTGGCGTCGGCGCTGATTTAAACGTTCTTTTAAATGGTTTAGGTGATCGATCGAATCACATCCCGACGGTGCACGCTGTTCAGCTGTTCTACTTTGTTGCATTTACCGCAGGCCTATCTATCTTTGCAATTTTGGGCGCTGTGCCTTTGGCTCGCTTGCTGAAAAAACCTTCTCCTAGGTATTTGCAAGAACTCATATGGACCATGAGTCATGGATAACCGTAGATAGGTCTTGAAATAATTTGGTCCGCATCGCTGACACTCCTTTGTTCTCTCCATCTTTAGATCATGGTTGATTATCCTAGTTATTGCCTTGATTATGACCGCCATTGTCCACAAATTCACGTAAGTTTTTTGAGTGCCTCGCATCGGAATGAGTGTCAAAATGCTTTACGTCCACACTTGCTAACATCCATCCTTGGCGTCCCACGTAATGACTAGAATCGTGCATCCGTTCCTCCTATCTGACAATCGACACTACACTTTCTACATCTGGAAAGCTCTCTCTCGGCACAATTGGACCTTGCTCTACGCCTCAGTTCCCTGCTACATGCTGGCTGCGTGGTTCTGCTGGCAAGCCTTAGGTAACTGTCTTGTTTTGGTTAACATCCTTACAATCTCTCTGCTGCTTCTATTACTTGGCTTCTAACCATAAGCGCATCCATACTCTGATTCTCTTTCTGCTAATAGCAACGGAGCAGACAATTCTATGGATAACAATCTATTGCATTGCAACAGCGTTGACATTGATTCCTTCGCCATTGCTGGAATTCCGATACTTCATCACGCCTTACTTGATCTATCGTATCGCTGTGCGTCAGTCGCGAGGAGTATGGCTCATTTTAGAACTGTTTACATACACAGCTGTCAACGCCTTTACAATCTATATGTTCCTGAAGAAGCCCTTCCGCTGGCCTCAAGAAGACGGACTGCAGCGATTCATGTGGTAGCGAGGAAGAGGATTACGGTCTTTGCTGGCTCAAAGACACGACCTCTCCTGCCATCTACCCTTGCAGCAGTCAATATCACAATATGGGTGATACACATTCGCAAGCATTATAGCATGACGCGACACAAAGTCACATTAATCCCGCATAAAAATGTTCTCCATTATTGCTTGCGCCAACAATCGGTCCGAACCTCAGGATTATTTTTCGTTTAATGGCTCAATATCCCGTTTTGCTTTCAGTCTATGACTATTATCTTGCTATACGTGACGAGGAAGCATCTGTGGTGTTTTCTTAGCAGGTGGTGGCCTCCTCATCAAGATGTAGAGCATGACTGACGTCGCTACACAAAGCGAGTACCTGTGTTTCATTCACGAAAGTAAAGACGCATTAGTCAGATTAATGTTTTTGCGATCATGGTCCATTGTTTGGTAAGAAAACATGGGACATACCATGTAACAATATATTCTTTGTGGTGGTTGCGAAGCTCGACTACAGGAGACCGCCCGACCGGTATGTTTTTGTCGATCAGCTCGGACTTGATGAGGTGTTGCGGGGTGTCTAAAAGATGGGGATGATATCCAAGGACGAGAATTTTGGTCAAGTTATAGAAAACTCGAAGGGGTAGATCATACAGCCTTCCATGAGCCCTGACGCGTCTTCCTTACCTAGAAGGGTCTCAACGATCACAGGTTGCGATCCCGATAGCTCTGCCATGGTCTCCAAATCCAAGGAGTACCATTCGTTCTTCTCTGGGCTGTTCTCTGGGACAAAAGACGATGCCTTTTGTTCACCTGATCGAAGCAAGCCCTCGACGACTACCTCTCCTTGAGGCAGACCCTCCAACCGCGTAGACTGATCCTTCTTTTCGCGGGGCACCCATCCTCGCCGCACAAGGATCTTGGATCTAGAAAGTGAAAATGTCCACGCATTAATGTCCGCCGCATTTCGCATTCACAGAGATCGCGGCGCATGATCTCGGGTCGACATACCCGTTGCTGCGCTCAAAAGGAGTGATAATAAAGTATCCTGGCTGTCCATCGCCCCTGGTCCTCGGTCCCAGAAGGATTTCCTGATCATGTCGGAAATGGCCGGTAACTTTGACCTTGCGATATTCAAAGTCTTCAATCGCATCCAAGCTAAAAAAAAAAAAAAAAAAAAAAAAAGTACGCAGGAGAACAAAGTCTATATCAGTTCATCAAACAAAAAAGAAGTCTGGTACAGCATCTCCTTCCTGCCTGCAGAGTGTATTAGTACAAGGACCTACTTGACTTTGCGCGGTAATGGGATCGCATCTAGAGCCATCCGATCCTCGAGACTTTCGATCAGATTAACCTTCCAGCGCAGTCGTTGAACCTGCCATGTCCCGAGTCCAAACGTAATAATGGGACACAGCGCCAGTCCAATGGTAACAGGCCCCCAGCGTCTCCTGCCGGACTGCGTGCGCGAGGATTGGTGCAGGGTGCTATAGCCATGCTGCTGCGCGACTTTGTGAAGGCAGACAGACCTGGTTGATCCGATCGGGTAGGTAGCTGAGGTGACGAGTTTTCTTGGAAGGGCCACTGATTGAGAATGCGTTACAGACGTGGACGATGCTGCTGTCTTGAATGTGCACGCCTGATTATGCTGGGCGAATCTCCGGGCGAGGATCCTCGTTTGATTCAACGCGTTGTTGGACATGGCGAAGGAGGAGTACGGAGGGAAGGACGTGCGGGAGGTCACGGGCGAAGCGGTTTGATCTTGAGCCAGAAGCCATATCTGGGTAATGCAAAAAAAAAATGGGCGTCTTGAGCGCGGTCCACAGCCCACCCGTCATCAGCTCTCCATTCTTGTCGCCTCATCTTTGGTTCCTCATTCACATTCCCAGCATATTCTACCTCAGTGCAAGAAGAAGATCGGCAATACATAGCACGCAGGCAACGAAGAAAAGAAAAAAGCAATAGCAAAAAGAGGGCAATAAAACGCAATGGCATCGACTGAGGAAAATACCACCCCGGCCCACCTTTGGTTCGAAGGCTCAGTAGCGGCTGCTGTTGAAACTGCCAACACCAAGGGCTCGGTGCTCATGGTCTGTCTTGTCCAAGGTATGTGGACAACACATACCGACTCATTTTGATACACCTAAATTGAACGTCTCTTGCATTCTACTGAGAATAAAACGGATGTCACCATCACATAGATACTACCGAAGGAAGCGAGAGTCATCAGTTTGAAGGTCGCTTTGCAGATACCAGCGTTTTATCGGAGCTGTCAGGACTGAATCTGGTGCCGCTGCGCCTAATCAAAGATTCTGTCGACGGCATGATGTTTGGCCAGATCTGTAAGAACCTCAATTGTTTCGTATCTGGAGTCCTGAACCCCTTTTCGATTGCACAGCTTTTAGCGAGCGTCCACTGACCCAGTCTTGCGCGTTTCTTTTGTTTAACCATATGCGTGACCATGCGCCCATAGTCCCAATTATGACTGTGCCGGCTCTCTATCTCATCCGTAACGGACTCTTGACAGACTTTATAAATAGCACTGTTGATAAGGATCAGATGCTGGACAGGATCAAAAGGGCAGTGGATGGACATTCTCAGATCCGTCCCCCGCCAAACACTGTGATTCCTACAGCTTCTGCGGCCGCTGCCGAGGCACCCACTGGAGGTTCATCGGTGCAGGAGTCAGTATCGGAGCCTACGTTAGGAACAACATCGATCGTCGCCGACAGAACGGGTACTTTGACTGCGTCGACACCGACTTCATCTCCGCACGTAGCTGCAGCTCCACCAATGGACGTGCCTTCTGAAGCCCCGGCAGAAGCAAGTCTATCCAATTTATTGTCTAACACGAGCGCGACTGCAGTCGATCAAGCACAGACGTAGGAATATTGCAATGTTTTCGATGAGATTGCGCAATTTAGTTAATGCTAATTATCTTTTTTTTTTTACTAACATTTCCCAGGCTAAAGGAACTGATGAAAGAGCGCAAGCTGAAGCGAGAGAAGGAAGAGAAAGAGGTGGATATCATTTCTTTCTTGTTTTTGCACAATCTGGTACTGGAGACAATACTGATCATGGACATTGACATCCTATCCAATAGGCTGCAAAACAGCGCGAAATCAATAGGAGGGCTTCTAGCAAGGCGCTTTCGGAAGCTCAGCGAGAAATGAGTGACAAGCAGGGCAACAAACTCAAAGAGCAGATCGAACGGGAGAAGCGAGAGGAGGCAGAGTATAAGAAAAGAGTCAAGCAGGCACTCGAGGAGGATAAGGCGCGGCGGAGAGCGCAGAAGGAGAAGGCACAGGCAGCAGCGGCAGCTCAAAGCAGCCCACCGCCTCCAGAGCAGGTTTTGACGCCTGCAGAGATCCGAGCTCAAAATGCTGGGCTGACCCTTGCGAGAAACGACTCTGCTCCCGCACTCGCATATGATTCAAGCCGACTGAACATCCGGCTTTTTGACGGCTCCAGCATCCGAAACACGTTCAAGGCCACAGATACGCTCGACCAAGTGCGCGAGTGGATCAATCAGGTATGAAATGTCATTTTTTATAGTGTATTCTTCTTTCTTTGCCTTGGTTATCATAGAGGACTCAGAGCTGTTTGCCGCCATTATGTATAGCATCAAGTGGAGGACCATGGAGCCTATAATATCGTGCAGCTAATCCCCTTGCGCACATTCACGGACGAGTCTAAGATGCTTCGTGATCTCGAACTCTGCCCAAGCGCTACTCTTGTGTTGAAGGTGTGTGGATCATGAAGGCACGGAGAAATGGAGGAATCACTTTCTATTTTCGCCCTTTCTAACACGTCTTATACATCGCAACAGAGAACGACTGCTGCATCCTCAGCATACGAAGGATCCGCAGGAGGAGCTGTGCCGACTCTGATAAACTACGGTTGGTCGGCTCTGAGCTTGGCGGGCAAGGCTGCATCATCAGCCTACGCGACGGTTTCGTACTACAACCCCCTGGCGAGTACTGGCGCTTCAAGCAGCAGTACTGCTGACCGCCCCAATGAACACGGTCGCAACACCTCGGAATCTGCAAGGTTAGTTCCAGTGAGCTGTTTCAGCAAGCAGGCAACCTGGAACACTTGGATTCTTGTACCTGCTGTTTTTTTTATTTATATTTTATTTTGCTGAATATGATGACAAATGTTAGGTCCAAAAAAAAGGATACGGAGGTCAACTATAATGGGTAAGTTTTCAGGACTTTCAAGGACAGATCGAGGAAGCTGTTTGTTCACTCAACAGTTTGGAAAGCTCACTTTGAATTCTTTCTTCCTTGCTTTTGTTACTCAAATACTTAGAAACTCTACGAACCTGGAATAAAAAAATAAAAATAGCTGGGCCTATGGGGACCAGTGGAATAAAGACGTTTCAAGCAGAACCTTTGTCCTATCTTTTTTTTTCTAGCAAAGAGTAGGAGCCACTTGAATGAGGAATTAGCCCAGGGTATGCTGCTGGCGAAGGCAAAGAGAGAAAAGAAAAGCCGAGCGCCGGAGACACTGCTGAAGTGCATGTATAGTACATAACATCCACTTGATCGATGCCAAGGTAGATACAAGGGCGCCATAGACATGATGAGTGTTTTATACAGTAGCTTCTCTTTCGTGTAAAAGAATGATCTCTACCGGGCAGATACAGGTTCATGCTGAGGCTATAAACAAAAAAGGACCTCTTTATCTATTTTACAAGCAGAATAACGCAGCACTAACGGGTCTATTCAAAATATAATCCGAGAGAAACAGCAAATGTGCTGTAACAAGATCGTGAAGAGTCTAGAGAAGACGAAAAGTTCGCATCGGTAGCAGACATACCAGCCATGGACGACCTTCACTCTCAAAAAAATCGAGGAAATGACTTTTTTTTTTTTTCCGGCAAGCGACGGGGGGAAGGGGGGGGGGGGTTTACAACACATTGTATTCAAACAAAATATTGGTCTTGTCGAGTTTCGGCAGCACGTTGAACCGGGCCATCACTGCATCGTGCAAACTAAAAACGCGGCTGAGAAGTTGATTAAAGAGACCGTTCAGGGTATCTATGACCAGCATATTGCACAACGGCTCCTTTAAAAATACTCAAATGTATATCCTGCTAAACCACCTCTTCCGCATCGATGGCGCACTTTGGTAACAACCCAGTTTTAACTTTTCTCAGCAGCTTCAGCAAAGTCTGTCGAGTACGTTGTCGGAGAGTCAATGAATCTCCTCTCGCGACTCCCACAAGGTGTCTCGTATGAGATCCATGAATAAGACGCTACGTCGAGATAAGTTAATGTTCGCCATCTTTTAAAAGTCCCGAATGAACCAGCTTGCGGGTAGCCGCGACAGGGGCAGTAGGTGGCGAGTTCGGGTTGGGGGGCGTATCATTCAGAAAGATCTCAGAGGATGTCAAAGATAGATTCAACCATGGCGCCATGGATGTTCGTGAGATGGGCAGCGTGCGCTGTTGAAGTGTTGGAGCGATTGGGGGCAGGAGGGGTTCAGAGACTGTGTGTGACCCCCATCCCTCCCGTTCCTGAAATTATTAAAGTTCTATGGAATGAGTGGCTGTGCGCAGATTAAATAAAAAAATCGTATGCTGGCCCATTCAAAGGAACCTGACCTATCAGAATTGCTGTGCCGCTGAAAAAAAAAAAAAAAAAAAAGGTCGCGTTTTCCCTCGCATCTACAAGTTACTGTAATTCGCGATCGACAAGGGTGTGTACCGCTCCATGGAGACACGGCAGTATAGGATCCAGAAAAAAGGTCTCAACAGCTTCCACCTGAGGCGACAGGGGCGCAAAGTGGGTCTATCCTCGACTCTCATTGCTACTGGGGCATGATTTCGGCAGCAGCCCAGCACGAGCAGGCCATTGAGGGAAGCCAAGACGAAGGCCCAGAGGCGCTTGATTTGATCGCTATCCTCTTCGTGAAAAAGGGATCATACAGATCCTTTCTCTCTTCGTTGTTGCATAGTCATATCCAGTCCACTGTGTCTTTGAATCATGCTCTCTGTCCTTCGAGTCCAGTTATGGCATAGTTACAGTCTTTTGAGGAATATCTACAAGCAGCATAAATATATTACAACACAATTAAAAATACAAACAAAAGAATGCAATGTTCTATTCTACGCTTCTATCGTCGCCAGATCATTTTCAGGGCAACATAAGGCTCGTGTTTCTCATTCCTTAGCGGACCACCCCATATCCTCATTATAACGAATGACCTCCTGAACTGTTAGTCGGTCTGTTGTGCTCCAGTGTGCAGAGCTCGTCCTCGGCCGGAGTCGGTTTGGTTTAACCGGGAAGATCTCTCCCATATCGAGCACAGGCAACGGCCCAAAGATATCCTCAGGATTCAATTGGCTTTGACGATGCATGGCCTTTTCCAGTTCACTCCACTCTGCCCAGGCTGGTATTTCTAAATGCCTATCTCTCTTTCCATCCCTGGACTCATCTCCATCATCTTCGCTCTCGCTTATAATCTCAGGTAAAAGAGTCCTTTCGTGGTGGGAGCGCCGTCGGGTTTGACTCTGTGCCTATGCATATAAGCAGAACGAAATGGATAGAAAGCTATGAGTAAAGACGCGTTCGCCCAGATGACAATATACAGTTCTAAGAGGAACAATAAAAAAAAAAAAAAAAAAAAAAAAAACTTACCCACGAGGGTATCGGGGGCGGACGCATAGGCGCAGGAACCACGAAAGGATTATCGCTTTGATTGAAGTCATTCAACTGCTTATTCGATGTCGTCGACTCTTCCGTCTGCAGCTCCCGCGTTTGCGATTCTTGGGTTCGCGATGCTCTCAGGAGGCCATTAGTTAACGATTTGGCTGTGGATGATGTCGACTGTTGCGCTGCGAGGATCGAAACCAGAGTCGAAGTCATGGTCGTTCCTGACGTACTTGATGTTGATAAGGTCTGCATAGACGCAGACGATGTTGTGCTGGTTTTGGAGGTAACATCCGGTGTGAGCTCGCGCAATTTTATATCACGCTTCGTATCCTTTTTCGGAGAGGTCGGTGTGCCCGCCCTTGCAATACCAGAGAGGGCGAGCGATCTGGCGGTGAGGGTGCTGTCCTGGAGTACGGTCCGCGTAGGTTTCTTAAGCAATAACGTCGATTTCGAGATCAGGAACGGTTTGCGCGTTAACGCTGACTGGCTTTCGGACCGTGCCAGACTGCTCTCTGTGGGTCTCGTCAGGGGTAACGGGGCTCTTGGAGCTCCTTGACGCCACATGTTCAATGACGCGGATGATGGCACCGCTGAATTTGTCTGGGCTGCTACGGCCTGTGTCGTTGGCTGAGAATCCTTGGATAAGCCGATTATCCCTGGTCTAGCAGCCCTGCCCGTCGTGTTGGTTAGAGACGACTGCGGTTGGCTCGATGCACTGATCCCTGATGTTGGGGCCGGGGGCGCCATAAGCGGCAGCGTTGTTGTCATCTTCAACAGCCGTGATGTTGGTGGTTGTGGTTGGGAGCCGGTTGTTTGGGTTACGGGTTTCCGTTGACCGATGGTGCGTTTCTCAGGCAAGGTGGTGCCGACTCGCGATCTGGAAATAGGCTGATGGTCGACTAAAAACGCAGAACCTGTCCCTGCAGAACCGGAGGTGATAGAATGAGAATCCTTCTGTGCAGCTGGTTTGGTTTCCGCAATGGTGTTCGACCCTGAGCGCGGCGCGATATCGGAATCCTGGGGCTTCAACATCGAGTTGATTCTAGTTTCGCTTGAATGGTCGATGCCCCGCCGTGAGAGATCTCTGTCGGTAGTATGCGAACCTGGCAGTCCTGCTGCACGTTCGTCCTGATCACTTCGTCTGCCCAACATCACACTGTTTCCGTTGCGATCAACACTGTCCAGAATAGAGCTAAGACTGAGAACGCTCCCTTGGGTATTTGGAGTATGAGGTACCTCTCGCGGCGCCCGAGAGTTTGTTCCGCTTGACTTTGACGATCTGGCTCCATCGACAGTGTTGGATTCAGCCCCGTGTTGATCAGTGTCGTTGAAACGTACAGGTGCCGTGGAATCCTGGAAAGGTGAGCTCCTGGGCCGTCTATAATCCGCTTGGTAGATTTCGACATCTTGGTCGACGTTCATGCCGGAGCTGACCGAAGGACCCCTGGTGAGACGAGGTGTTGAGATATAGGGGCTGTTTCTTGATCTAATAGAACTTGACCTTGACAGGGGTGATACCAATGTCATGGAATCCCGTGCTCTTGATCCTGGTGTCGCTTGGGTTTGAGCTACCCTATCCTGCTTGACCGCATTTTCGGAATAGGATGGATCAGTGTAAGCGATGGCTGATAGCCTGAATGGTGATGCCTTCGGCGGTAGATATGCTGCATCTTTCCTACTAATCGAAATCAGTCGGTATGACTCCTCGTCCTTGGACCGTAGCGGCTCTAATGGGATGACACTATTATTTGATGCGAGGCCCCTCCTGGTAATGCCACGGCGTGTCCCTTCACGTTGTTCTCCCATGAGCTCGCTGGCTTTCTTCCGTGCAGTCCTCATGATTCGCATGGCTCTCCTGGTTGCCGCTGAGGCATCCACCCTCAGGCGCGTGCGTTTTGGTGTTATTCGATGCCGTTCATGCGGTGAACGTGGGCTGCGTAGTGGCGAGAATAACCTGGGCGTCTTGGGACTCTTCGGCTGAAACTGCCCAGATCTGGTTTTTGAACGAGACCGACGATTGAGCTGATGCGACATGTTTGGTGAATCTATGGCAGTCTCCTGTATAGGGCTACTAGCGCGTGGAGTGTTGGTGGCGGCGTAGGGGGTGCTGGCTTCATGATCTTGGTGCACGTATTGCTCGATCATGGTCCTATTATGAGCGCCATCCGTAAAAGACTGGTGTGATCCTGTCTGTCGTTCCTGTCTATCGTTGCTAGTATGTTGCTCCTCATCACCATATCCCGACGCGTGGCTATCGTGAAAATGGCGTAGATGATTTGATGAATAGATTGCACGCATATGCGAAAAGTCGGTGTCTTTTAGCACCCCTTTCAGTACTGAAGGGCTTGCGAGTCAAGTTTTAAAAGCATACTGCATTACCTATAGGTCGAGAGGTTCAGCTGCTCCGCCTCAGTCTGTGGCCTGTTTTGATTGGCAGCGTAGACACATCCCTGGTAGTAGTTCTCGAGCCACTCAAAGCTGTCGTTGCATAACCGCTCAAACTCGCTCATTCGTGCCTCTTTGAGCTTCTCAATCTTGCGCCGCTGAACCACAGGCCATGGCCGTGTTGAGGGAAAGTCTGAGGGTGTTGCCCTGCGCTTTTTATCCATGCTGGTAGAGCCAATGGCGAAGCTAGACCGGCAGTTTGTCGAGGTAGACGGTCTCCAGTGGCGAGGCCAGGATGTCCTGATTGTCGCAAGAAGAGGGTGTGTGGAGAGAGGGGAGGTGGGAGATGAGTATAAAAGGAACAATGGTGCGGTGGTTAGTTAGTGCCTGGACCAAAGGCAGCGCGACGGTCAACAAACACAGCGGGGAAGTCAAAGTCACCTGCTTAAGGGCGAGATATTCAGTCGATCCGAAGAGGGCGAAGTAAAGTTTTTTTGTTCACGCAACTTCTTTTTTTTTTTCTCTGTCCTTCCATCAATCTCCATTCGCCGTTTTCGCTCATCACACAACCCCATCTTGACCACCGATATGTCAACGCAAAAGGAATACGACAGCATGACTGAGGAAGAGCGCGCTGTCTTCGATGCTGCTGCCCGTAAGAAGGAGGAAGAGGAGCAAGCAGGTAAAGTGAAAGTAAATGACGCGCAGATACCAGCGGCGTAGGGCCATTCAAGGTCGCTTACAAACGCTCGATATTGAACCCTATTGAACAACCAAAACCCTCGTAGCCCTCCCCTACAAGTGGAAGCAGACCCTGGGCGATGTGTCCGTGTCTGTTGAGGTCCCCAAGGGTACTCGTAGCAAGGACCTCGTCGTGGATATCAAGAAGAAGTCGTTGAAGGTCGGCCTGAAGGGTCAGACGCCCATTATCGATGTAAGAACTGGGGTCAGAGCCAAAGACACAAACGAATTAGAACGCGATTTTCAGTTTCATTCAAGAGAAAACCAAAGTAATCTTTCTTTCTTTCTTTCTTTCTTACTTTGTGTACAACCTATGTATATTTAGGGCGTATTGTTCAAGGATATCAAGGTGGACGATTCAACCTGGACTTTGGACAGCCAAAAGGAGGTCAACATTCATCTGGAAAAGTACAAGGGTACCGAGTGGTGGAAGTGTGTCATTGAAGGACACCCCGAAATCGATACTACAAAGGTCGTCCCCGAAAACTCAAAGCTGAGCGACCTGGATGGCGAAACAAGGGGCATGGTCGAAAAGATGATGGTACGCGCCGCGTCTTTCTGCACAGCGCGGATGTCTTCAACCACTCTGCAGTCATTTTTGACGCGCTTCTGATTTCATCTCCGCTCTGAACTCATTATAGTTTGATCAGAGACAAAAGGCGGCAGGCAAGCCTACCAGCGATGATCTGAAGAAGGCTGAGGCGCTCAAGAGGTTCCAGGCACAGGTAAAGCAATTTATTTGGTCTCTTTCTAGGGGACATTGCTCCGTTCTCTAACCTAATCTCCCCTTGTTCTTCGCATTCCACAGCACCCAGAAATGGATTTCAGGTAATACCCCGGGCTGCAATGAACGGCCCTCGAGATATGAGCAATGAAAATCTGTCCGCTCTCATCTAACATCTCTTCAATTCAACTCAATACATAGCAACGCCAAGATGGGATAAACGAAGAACCGACTGGATAAGGCCTGCGAGTCTTGACCAAGAAGAGCAACAAAACATTGAAATAAACGATTGGTTATCGCTACACATGGAGCATCGAACAGCATATCATGATATGGTATTGAGCTTCATTTTGTGAGGTTATTATTACGAGTACAACAAATATTAGGGGCAGATGCCGAGTAAGCAAATATGCAGACAAAAAGGCAAGCAAGGTCCTGAAGTACAATGAATGTAAAAGGAATTAGACCGTCGAGGACAACGGGTATAGATTAGGTCATAAAAGCGCGTTGAATAGAAAGAGGAGCTGGCTGTGAAATATCGATTCTAGTAACCCGGACAGCTTGGAAGCAGCGAGTCCTCCAAGAAATAGGTACATGACACCAGAGCCTTAACCAAATGACAGCGATGAGGATGATAATAATAATAATAAGGGTCGAGCAATAAGCGCATACTTCATCTACGACACGTGCTGCAGGTAATGATGCCGATCAACCTGTCCCAGAATCCCCGCTTCTTCTGGCTTCCTTCGCCGTTCTGACCATCTTCGGCCCGGAGATTTCCATTGTTGGGCGCCGCACGGTTGTACGCGTGGTCGCGAAGCAAATCCTGATCGGTTGTTCCAGCTGGCTGACCACGCGAAGTGCTCTGCTTGTGCTTCAGTCTGGAGTTACTATGCATCAGTGCTGCGGGTTGCTGCGGTTTGCCTTGCTGTCGTGGCGGCTGTCCCGGCACATGGACATCTCGGGACCCATGGCGGTCATGATGACCTGATGGATGCAGAGGATTAGACGAGTACTGCTGTGATGCACTCGGCAAGTGACCGTTGTCGCCATAGATAGATGTCTATTAAAAAGGAAGAGTAGCGAAAGCACAGTTGAGATGGTTAACAACTCGAAGGCGACAACACTTTGTCATACCATGCAAACAATGTATGGTCGAAACTTACGTCCATCTCGGATTCCCAGCCCTTGCCATTGTTCAAAAGCATCCAGTCGTAAATCCCATCCTCAACTTCGTTCATGCTCTTCAGCGCCTTTGTGAACAGGTCTCTCAAAAAGTCGTAGTCGGGTGTCTCCTCGAACGATAGCTTTCGAACATAGTTGAGGTAAATACCAAATTCCTCTATCGAATGGTTGAACAGGGAGACAAAACAGGGTCAGATTCTTTCAAAAAGATCAAGTACTTACAATGGAATAGAATTTATATCGAGTAAACTGTCCACATACCAGGGAATCCTTCGCAAAGCTCCTTGATCGGCGTCGATTGTTTCTTCTCACCGATCTTTTCGTACTTTTGCTTGTTGGTTGCTGCCTTCAAACCTTGCCAGGGGAGACCGCCTCTCAAAAAGTACATAAAAACGTGGCCCATGGCTTCCAAATCATCGCGTCGTGATTGTTCTGTTTTAAATGGAGGAAGACGTCAGTAAAGACAGCAATTCGAGTTTGGCAAAATGAGATTGGGAAAGAATAAGGACACGAACCTCGGCCCAAGTGCGTGTTGATGCTCATGTATCTGGCTGTTCCGCTCAAACTCTTTCGCTCGCGGTAAGGTATATGCTGCTTTGTCTTGGGGTCGCGATACTGCTTTGCCATGCCAAAGTCGACGACATGCACAAGATTGGCGTTCTTAGTGTGGGGCTTGCCAATCAAAAAGTTATCCGGTTTGATATCTCTGTAGATCAGATTCTTTTCGTGGATGGTTTGGATACGGTACAGCTAGAAACATAGCATATTTATCAGCAATAACGGCAAGAAGAAAGAATATCAGCATTGGTTTGATTTTTTTTTTTTTTGGGGGGGGGGGGGGGGGGAAAACAAGATAACATGGCGAGGTAGCAGAAAAAAGCGATGCCGCACCATTTGCTTGGCCAACATGACGACGGTCTTGATCGTGAATTTGCGCCCACACATATCAAAGAGATCTTCGAGAGACGGCCCCAAGAGGTCGATGCACAGGATGTTATGCAGACCCTCCTGGCCAAAGTAATAGGCATTGGGAATACCCGCTGATGACAGGCAGAAGGGTCCAGGCAAGAGAACTGCAGGTTAGCATATGGCGTTTATTACCCATATTGATCCTTGGTATAGTGTCATTCGTCAATTGCCCGTAAACACCTCAAGTTGACCCGAAACAAAACCAGAGAAACGCACAACCCAGCATTGCTTTCAAGCTGTGTCTTTTTTTTTATCTCATTACAAGCACATACACATACACATACACATACATATACACATACACATACATATACACATACACGGACAAGCAAAAATAAAACAAGGCAAAACAACAATAAATAAACATGCATGAAAAAAGGAAATACATATTGTGGTCTCCGGTGGTCGGGCATTGGTGCCTTCCTTGTCTCTGATGGCTCGGGATATAACAACGGGAATGGAAAAAAAGATGAACGGCTACTTACTCGATCCGGCGAGGATTTTGTATGTCCTGTACTCGTCACGAAGCTGTGGGGCATCGCTCTTTCTTGGCTCGAACTTGATGGCGACCTGCTGGTTATTCAACAGGTTGATGCCTGTGGGAACAAAGGAGGGATTATAAGCGCAAGGTTCATCTCTGGCTGTCACAGGGTTGGGTGATGAAGTCAGAGCGGTACATGAACCGATCCTGAGGATTCCTGCAGGTGCTGATCGGAAAAAAAGAAAGAAAGAGCGGGAGAGAGAGAAGAAAAGAAAAAGACTTGCCTTCGTAAATGATACCGAAGCTGCCCTCGCCAATCTTCTTGCCCACCCGATAGTGGACGCCGACCACATTGGAGGAGGAATGAGTGCTGTGTGAGCTGCTACTCATTCTGCTAAGTTGGTCAGGACGATAGAAGAGACAGACTTTTGGTTAGCCGCCAATGAGGGTGCAATATGGGAAATATACGCTGCTGGAAAGCGGTGATCCAGAGAATTATTACAGGCTGTTGCTGTTGCTGTTGCTGTTGCTGTTGCTGCTGTGGGTGTGCTACGTGTGTTTATTTAAGAGAGGAGCGGTGCAGGGATTGCTGTTGAGATGCAGTGGTATCCGGGGGAGAGAGAGCGGAGAGAATGACGACGAGTGGGTGGGGGGGGGGGGGGGGGGGAGAAGAAAGATAAAAATTTAGGCGAGTCCAGGAAAGAGAAAAAAAAAGAAAAAAAGGAAAAGGATGTGCAGACAAGACAAGACAAGACAGGATAGGACAGGACAGGACAAGACAGCCAAAAGCGTGGATAAACAAAACGTGCTGATAGACAGATGGATGGATGGGGCGATGGCGGTGCTTCCCCTCTCGACTCGACCTCTTCTGCACTCTCTAGTCCTTTCTGCAGGTTTATGCCCAAAAAAAAAAAAAAAAAAAACACACACACATACAATGGTCCTCAGATAGCTGCTGCTGTCTACTGCCCTAAGCATCCCCCACCCCACCCCCGTCTGCCAAGGACAAGACGAGTGCGTCACTATGGTATGCTCAAGCTAGACACACCCATCTAAAATACAACAAATACAACAAATGCAACAAATACAATAGAAGCAACATACACAGCCAGAAACAGGCTGTTGTGCGATGCGATGTGTGGGGCAATAAGGGGGGAAGGAGGGAGAAGTGCATGGGTTTGAGGTCTGTGTGTGGGGCTCCAGTGCCAGACGGGAGGGGGGATATGAGGGAGGGGAAGGGTGTGTGTTTGGGTTTCCTCCAATAGGAGGAAGCGATGTTCGAAAGAGTGATAAAGTAGGAAGTGTGAGGGAAAAGGCGCGTCAAGCAGGGACAGAAGGATCAATGACGAGGAGGGAAAAAGGATGCGCGAGGGAGATGCGGGGCTGGTGCTGGTGCTGGTGAAGGCAAAGTGGATCGGAGAGTTGGTGTACGGTGTGTGCTTTTTTATTTCTCTTCCTTGCAACACATGGTGCAATGGGGTGCAACCATGGGGGATGTATAGTAGGATGAGAATCTGGAGGGTGCGAGTACCTTTAAAGAGGAGCGAGAGAAGCGCGCGGGGAAGAAAAAGAGGAGGAGAGAGAGAGAGAGAGAGAGGGAGGGAGAGGATGCGTGTGTGGGTGTGATGTATGTGTGTATGTGTGTATGTGTGTATGTGAGCGTGTGTATGTGTGAGTATGTGTAGGTGAGTATGTGTGTGTGAGTATGTGTATGTGTGTGTAGATGTCTGATGGAGGAGAATGAGAAGAGAGAAAGAGAAAGAGATGACTCTTTGGATCCGAAGACAAGGGAGAAATAACGTTTTTTTCTCTTTCTCAAGCGCAGATAGTCAGAAGAAGTAAAAGATCCCCCTCCTCCCGTTGGATGCTCTTCCCCGTGACCGCTCATTCCCCCCCTGAGATGGATGGGATGGGATGGGATAACACACGACAGCACACTGTGTCGAATCAAAAGTCTATCAGGGTTACACAAGGCGCCGTGCGACCAAACCATCGCAGATAGACTATTTCCTTCCTTTGTCCAAGTGTGCGCCTCTTTCCCATCCAGACACCCGCGTCCTGCACCGTGCACCTCAAGTCCATTCCATTGTATCTCTTTCCTCCTTTCTCGGCCCATGCCTAGCAGCTTTCTACGAGAGTGGACTGGGGGCGAGTGAGGCAAATGTCGGATGGAGCAAAGGAGATGTTCCTAAAAGTCAATCGAGACCATCCCAAGGGCCGAACGGAGACAAATCACTCGTTGGACCTGTATATATAGGTGCTAGCAGACTGACTGCCTCGGTCTTGGCTGCAGGTCCGAACCGAGATTTGTTCCATCTCACTCTTGTCAGCACCGGTCCGCTGCGCAAGGTTGCTGTAGTACCCTCCATATCCACCACTGGCACTAATCTGAGCGGAACAATTTTGTCGCTCATCCGGGGTGAGACAGACGCGTTTAATCCGCGCGTTGCTACGTCGTCTTTGTCCACTAGTTAACCGCTTGAAGTTTTTTTTTCCTAGGAAGAATCTCGTTTACTTTTATCACATATCCTCTTCCTAATCCCTTAACCACTTATTTCTCTCTCTCTCTCTCTCTCTCTCTCTCTTTCTTTCTCTCTCTCTATTCGGCGCTCATTCCTCCCACTCGGGTATCCATCCTCGTTCGTATCTTTCGATTACCCACGACTGACTGTCTCCACTCAAGCGCCAGACGCAAATCACACTGAATTCCATGGATCACGATCACTACCAGCAGCAGCAGCAACAACAGCAACGAGAGGAGCAACAACCACACCAACAGGAGAAACAGCAGCAAGAGTACTTGAATGAATCAATGCCATCTTACGCTCAACCCAATGATCAATCTAGCGGTCAATCTAGTGGTCAGCCCAGTGGTCAACCCAGTGAATGTAATCCGTATGAATCAGAACACCTCGCCTCGGAGCAACATATTCGAGATCAACAACATATGCAACTTCCAGTAGAGGGCCATTCCTATCAATATATCCAGCAACCTACCCATCAACACCTTCAACAGCGTTCTCCAAAACAGACTCCCTGCGTACAACAGCAGCTCCAGCAATACCATAATCAAACACCACGCACTATCGAGTACATCAATCCTGTAGTAGCCCAAGTCCACCCAACCCTGATCCGCGACTCATCCGAGCCCTCCTTGGTGTACGCGTCGGTCCAAAATGACGGCTCCAATTCTGCCTCATTGAGTACTGCGGCAGAGCCTCCAGTCATAGCAGGCGCATCCACCGGTAGCTGCGACTCTTCTATACTTGGATCCATCTTCAAACAAAAGTATCGCCGACGTGCCTCCTCCGTTTTTGGCTGGGACTCTGATGATGATTATGAACTAGATATTGCCGCCGCTAAAGCCGCCGCCCCCGAATCCGTCAACCACCCTCTTAACAATGAAAAGAGTCCCTGGCTGCGAAACGAGAATCGGAAACGGAAGAAGGTTCAGAAATGTGTCTGTCTAGGAGTTATTCTAGTCTTTGTAGCCTTCGTCATCGTTCTATTGTTCTGCTTCAAGGAGGAGATCTTCCGCACGCTACCCAAAGGCGAACGTCCAAGGAAGGGCTTTGATGGACCACCGCGGCCGATCGAGGAGGTGTACGCTGTCAACAAGACCATCACTCCGGATCCTCGCCTTGGCAAGGTTTTCTACGGGATCGACTACACTCCTGGAGGTGCCCAGGAACCAGACTGCTCGGTTAACCTCGGCAATGTAATTGAGGACATGAAGTTGCTGTCGCAGTTAACCAGTCGCGTCCGAATGTACGGCTTGGGTTGCCACCAGACTGAGGCAGTCCTGAAGGCCATGGATTATTTGGGACTGCTAGACATGCAGATCATCGTGACCCTCTGGGTTGACTCTAACCGCACCTACTGGGAACAGCAACAGAACATCTTTTGGAGCCTCATCGACAACGACCTGACAAAGGATACCGGTTACGTCGGTGCAAGCGATTTGAATCAACAAGACCCCAAAGCGGCCGCTTCCGCAAAGATTTCCAAGGTGGTATCGAGGATCATTGGTATATCCGTCGGTAATGAAGTCCTGTTCCGTAACGAGGATAAGAATAACGTTAACGAACAGGTTCCTGCGTCGGTACTGGAGGGCTACATCAATTCTATCCGGCAGGGCCTTGCATCGAGGGCGAATGCAGCTACACCGTCTCCCAATTCTGATGTGGTAGCGTTGGGTCAACACTTGGCCCGAATTCCAGTGTTCTCGTCGGATCTGGGCCGTAATGCGGACCAAATTGTGAACAGCGTTGACTGGGTGATGTCGAACATTCATCCCTTCTTTGCCTACACAGCTGTCAATCAGGCTGCGACCTGGGCATTTACGAACTTTAAGAACGAGACCGTGAAAGTAGCCGCAGGAAAATCCGCAGTGATCTCGGAGATCGGATGGCCAAGTGGGCCTTCCACTGCAAACTTGGGTAAGGAGTCCAAAAAAAAAAAAAAAAAGTCAATTGGGGTTTTTTGTTGGCGACCAATCAAATAGGATCTGTTTTTTTTAACCGCGGCATTCTATTGGATATAGGACCTGCTGTGCCTTCAATCCAGAATCTGCAGACATTTCTCGACACTTGGGTCTGTCAGGCCAACAAACGCAACATTCCATACTTTTACTTTGAGGCCTTTGATGAACCCTGGAAGCGCGTCCAAAATCCTCGTGAGGCCCAGTGGGGCATCATGACCCCCGACAGGCAGCTGAAGGTCACCATTCCAACCTGCTAGATCTGCATGGTTTTGCACTAAAGCGCAAAGACCGAAAGACGCTATAACCTTAAGTTTACTTTCGTACCATCTGTAGTATGCTTTCTATAAAACCATGCTTGCCGAAGCACATCTAGAAACATATATGGCCTAATAAAGCCTCCGGGGAGAGACTCCGGATCTTTATGGTTCACTAGATATCTATCTGACTTGCATGGTCTCGGGAGAAAAAAAAAAAAGGGTTATTTGACGATGGGAAACACAGCGCGGATTGTTGTTTTATGGTTGCTTTACACCACACCGAAACCTTAAAGGAAACCTACGCATTCGGTCTATCCATTCAGGGGTAGAGAGAGTGAAGTGCACTTTCTGTCTTCAGGACCTAAAAAACGTGGGATTCTAGGATTTGTCACCAAGGTTTGATCATGTCATCATTTTGTTTGTTGCTCTCTCGTCTCCGCATGCCATAAAACCTATACCAGCTGCATCATGCGGTGCTTGCGTTAGTTGGGCACCAAGTGTACATGGTGTATGTTTAGGTAGATACCTTTTTCAACGGCGTCTCTCTCTTTTTCTCTTGTTTTGTAAAGGAGCCCTTCGACGTCTGCTTGGTCAGTCATGAGCCATTGTTAGTCACCCATGAGCCATAGAGGAAGAGAACTCAAACAAAAAGGAAGGAAAGGGGAAAAAAAAAGAGGGTTGTTGTTTATTTTGGCCGATCATCGAAATAGTTGCTGTTTGACGTCTGTGTGTTTGTTCCCGAGGACCCTCTATCCAACCCTTGGACGTCCATTATTTTTATATGCTGCATATGTTTTTGTGCCTGCAGCTATAACAGAAGAGCGGCGGAATCAGGGGGGGGGAGGAAGACACAGAGAAGGATCACCTTCAGTTAGTCTGCAGGGAGGAGGGCATACACAATAGGCAACGCGAGAAACGAACTTGAACCCCTCCAATGGCTCTAGTCCACAATAAACTCCAAGAGGAGGGAACCAAAAGTGTGCTTTGTGGTGGTTGCATCGATATAATTTCCCTTAACCATGTCTATGTAAGTAGCCATCGGGCTGTATTTCAGCATCCCGCTCATTGATGGCTACCATCTCATGTGCGCGCCCGCAGAATGACGCGCCTCGACTCCTCCTACAATGCTCCTCAGTCTCTTTACCTCTTTTTGCTCGGCAGGGACGGATACACAAAGGCTGAAAAGGCGGAGGAGGACTTTCAATTGATCTCTCATGTGCTCCAAACCTTAGTCCCGCCCCTCCCCCCTCACCAAGGTTCGTTTATCCACGCAAGGTTGCTGCTGGGCTATAAGGGCGTGTCCTCTCATTTTCACAAAACAGTGCTGTCACTCCGCATGTATTTTTATGCTTTTCCCGCTCGCGGTTTTTTTTTTTGACATCCTGTCTTTCTGACTTTCTGGCTTCCTGTCTTCGCCCTAATCTTCCATAATGCTAAGTAACACCCAATGCTTTATCACCGGATCACTTCATTCGGAGCATTGAAAAATAGAAACTATTCTAGCGTGAGTTCCTGCAGGTCTATTCACTCCAGGGCATTGGAAAACAAGGAGATCAATCAAGGGTCTTCTTTACCCATCGCGGCGGATTACCAGAAGGAGCGTGGGCTACACAAGGGAAAAAAAAAGTGATCACATTGTCTCCTCTCCTCTTCTTTGCTATGCAATGCATGTCAACCATATATGCCTCCACGCGCAGAAAAAAAAACACTTCGATCGTAGTCTACAATCCATGCATGTGCCGCAATGGCTTCTCATTTGGTTTACAGAGTAGTATACTTGATTCACAAAGGGGGACTGGAACGCTTTTTCTTTTTTCTTTTTTTTTTTGTTCCTTGGTCATGTTTGTCATCTTCTACGGCAAGGGGACAGAAATAAGGATGATAGCACAGGGCAAAGCAGGATTATTTCCGATCCGTCGCCCACGCATACAACCTGCCTCTGTGTCTCTACCATTGTATGCAGTCGAAGCCACCTGCTGACCAAAGCCCAATGCTAGCATGCGGTTTTTATATTATCATTATTATTATTTTCTTTCCAGCATGGTATAACCCAAAGACGACATCTAATAGAAACATGATGGCTCCCCGCCTTGTTTTGCTTGCCGATATTGGGAAGAGGGGGGAGGGGGGGGGGGGCCGCGAGTAGTGGCATGTCCAAGGGAAGATGTAGACGAATCAATGGTTATTTCGTCTGGTGACCAATCCCATTGCCAGTGGGATCGCGAGTTGAACGCATGGGACAAGTCTGGAAAAGATCCCAACTGCCATTCCATCTACATGTAAGATGATCGTACAGTAGTCGAATTGGTATAGAAAAAAAAAAGATGGATTGAGTTCAAAATCAAAGAGCCTTCGCAACCACGCAGCACACTAAATGGTCCTTATTTTTCCGCCCTTTTGTATCACGCTTCAGACAGGTGAATCGCGTCAACTTCTTGTGTAGCGTTACTCCCCTCAGATTATGTTTTGTTTATGTATTTGTTTTCTTTGTGTTGCCATCGACTGTATCAGATAGGGAAGCTGGAGCAAGACCCTGTTGTCGTGTGTTCTCTCTTCTACAATATAAATACATATTCTTATTATTATTACGCCAAGAATGAGGAGGAGGGGGAAAGCGACAGGGGGGAGTGTAAGCTGGGTCGTACATATTCTGTAATCAGAAATAAATAATTTCGGGGACAAAAAAACTAAGGCCAGCTCTCCCACGTCCCGTTTGAAGAGGGTCGTTCGTATGAAGTAGTTCCCTCCTGAAACGTCCTAGAGCCATATCCGTCGACTCATGACCTCGCATATGTCTTTGGTGGATTCGTAGAGGGACGAGTGCGGTTCGAGGGCAGGTCTATCGTTATATTGGGGCCTTATTACTGCCCTTGGTCTCTTCGTAGACCCGGGTCATCTTGGATACGGTGTTATCCTGTTTATTATTATTATCATCATCGTCACCACCACCATCATAATGGCTCACAGTAGCTCATCCGAGGACCCTTCTCCCTCTCTGCCCTTCTTTCACTATCAGGTGCTTTGACACCACTTTCACCGGTGTCTCTGACGAGTTCCCGCCTCTTGGCGACCCTCTTTTTTGTGTTTATTTCATTTTGTTGTTGTTTGGTGTGATAAATAAGAGAGAGAGAGCGAGAGATGTACTGACAGCTGCGAAGGAATGATTTGAGCCCTCGATTCAAATATACACTGGATACATAGTCAAGGGATAGGTGCATCCCAGAATCAATAGCAGTTGCGAGGACGTGGGGACGTGGTATCGATGGTGCAGGTCTGCAGTTGATCAAAATCTACCACAGTTCAGCAGGGTGGTGGGACACAAAACAAAGCAGCAGACGACAGATGGAGACAACCTAGCTGCCAGATGTTTTTTTTTGTCCACGTCCACTGGACGATATCCTAGGAATGGGTAGACTAGTATTGTGATGCGAAGAGTGGACACATGCTTTTTGCTTCGGATGTCCGCTTGTTCCTGTTACGACCTTTTCTCGTTCTCACTGTTCATGCGGCTCTTTAGTGTTTTTTTTTTTTTTTTTTTTTTTTTTTTTTGTTTCGCGAATGCGGTATGTGGATACCGAGTATGTATGTGCATGCATGCTTATTGAATGAGGTGCGACATGTTTGTAAAAATGCGTGGTTCAGCACTCACCATGGATACACCCTCACTGAGTTGCACACTTTCAATTGACACCTTGGGCAGTTTGGAAAAACAAATACACGTTCTTTTTCACTTGCTTGCGAGGAGGAAGTCCCCCTTTTTTTTTTTTTGAACTCGTCGCATATAAATCCCCTCGATCATCCACCCCTCGCCTCTCGTTTCGTCTCTCTTTTTACTTCAGTCCTCATTATCCTCCTTCTCAGTTCAGCCCAACCCATCTGTCTTGCTCCTCGAAACTGAACGCCCTCCTTCTACACACTACCGGCATACCCATTCTTCCGTACTACTGTATCATATTCTCACAAGAAGCAACCACCACCATCCCCCATCGTAGCAATTGTATTTTGAGATACAAAATAACGAGGCAAGGCATCTACACGTTCGAGCACTGAAGTGGAATTACGTTCTCTCACTCTATCCCTCTCGCTATGCTATTTCCCTTTTCCTTGGGGGGGGGGGGGGGGGTCCAATTGGTCGTTATTCGCGTGTGCAATGGTGTGCTGGGTTGTCTGTTGTGTCGATCAAAAATCCAGGTCCAATCCAACCCCAACCGATGGGCCCCAGTCACCACAGGGACCATCTTTTTGGGCACAGCACAGAATCTGGCAAGGGACACATCTGAATACCCAAATAGGAGAGAGCATTTGCTCACACGGTCCTCCAGTCTCCCCCTCGTTCTCCACGCCCAGTGTCATTCCCCATTTCCATTCCAGCCCATGCCTGAAGAGGGAATCACAACTACGTTTCTGGTTCGGCGAGGATGAAGGCGGGCCATCGCTGTCTATCGACCTGGCGCCTCGTCCTTTAAAGGAAATCTTCGTCCTTCTATCCCTTCATCGACTCCTTCACCTTGCGCTGCCGCAGTTCTCCATCCTAGGTCCCACGCCCTCCGTGCGTGTCAACCCTGAGCCTCCTGTTGTTTTACGCATTCCCTTTTTTTTGCATTCTTGATTCTGCTGCGCTGGTTTTTTGAACTTTTTATTGTTGGAGAACAACAAACAACAAAGGAACACGGTTCAAACTCTCTGGCTTCTGCTGCAATGCCCAATGGCCATCATGTCATCTCTCTCTTTTGTCTCTCTCTTCCCCATCCAACCATAGCAAGTTCGCTTTTGTTTAAGGAAAGAAAAGCTTACCTTTACCATTCTTTCTCTTTTTTTCTTTTTTTGGTCCGTGGAACCACTTCTGGCGCACCACATTGTAGGACATAAGGTTAGAAGCACGACTCTGACAGCACAGCACCAGGAACACATACCACCCAATCACCATGTCCAAATCCGAGTCCCACATCGAAGAGGTACCGTCACAGCAACCACAACAAGAGCCGGCGACGGATGCTCTTGTGCCCGAGGGTGCCACCATCGCGCCTGAGCCCGCGCTCGAACCATCATCAGAACCATCATCATCAGAATCACACGAAGAGCATCTCAAAGCGACGTCTACGTCGACGGAACCAGAAGCGGCCGCTACCACCGCTCCTGCTAAACCCAGCCGGCTCTCCCTGGCCTTCCAGAAGATCTCCTGCGGTAAGCACCCTCAAATCTATTTCCTATCCAACCATCTGTCCAGTCCCGTTGACCTATGGCGACATGTGCAGCTGTATCTATCCCTATCCCACCCCACAACCTACACCACGTCCTCTCCATCTCCCTTTCTCCCTCCCTCTGCCAATGTTCGTTATATTCCCGATCTCGGTGGGGGGGGGGGGTTCATGCAGCATCCATCTATCTTTCCACTGGTGTTGTGACAGTCCTGCAATGGACGTGGTGGCGACAGACATGCATGCACCATCTATTCTCTCTGTCTGTCTCTCGTATACCCGCATACTCGCATACCATGCAGCTGATTATGTGGGTGGGCGTTAAAAGGAATTACAGTCGGTTGCGATAGCGTGGGCGCTGTAGGCGTGGTTACATTTGTCCCCCCTTCCATTTATGCCCATATCGATTGAGGGCGAGGCTGTTTTTTTTTTCCTTGCATTGCATACAAAATGCTATCCCTCCATGGACATTGTCTAAGCGCATGTTGTTGAGGTGTGGATAATTGGATACATTCGTGTTTGTATGTTGGATTGGATACTGCTTCCTACTTCCTGCATCGTCCACGTTACGTTAGTCGACCGAGTCCCCCTGTCCTCATGTTTTCGTTCGCTTCCTTCTTTGGATTGCATGCTCGTTCTATTCCTTCGGACAGCTGTCCATGTCGTCGTCAGGATGAGGGTTCTTTGTTGTCTGTCGTCCTCCCCCCCTTTTTTTTCATTCGGCACCACCACTCTGTCTTGGCGTTCCTCCTCCGGCGCAGTCTAGATGATACTCTTCTTTAGTGCGCAGACACAGACAGCCACAGCTGACGGTGCTTTATCCCCGTCCAGCCTCACGTTCGCATCTGTGTCCGTACTACCGCCCCTCCCCCTTTCTTCGAAACTAACCCTGTTTGTTACTTAATCCTTAGGTCTCTGCTTCCATCCCCTCAAGAACAACAACGCCACAGACTACCATGCCCTCGTAGTCACCCCCACGGACGAAGACGGTCCTGGATTTGGACAGGACTACCATGACACCGACCACAGCGCACCCGCACATATCACCGAAGACTTCAAGGGAGACCACAGCGTCCACGCCGGCGCCAGCAGTTCAACAGACCACCATCTGTCTGCATTGGGCGAGGCCGAGAACAAGAGCAAGGCTGCGGAGGAAGAGGTGACCTCGACCATTATCGAGGAGATCACCATCGTCGAGGGCTCCAGTGCGCAAGTACCACGGATTGAAGAGGTGGTTCAGGAGACAATTATCGATCGGCAGGTTCCCCGGGATACTGTCCAAGAGGAGTCATCGTTGGCAGTGCCCGGAGCAGGGAAGAACAACAAGTCTTCATCGGCCAGCTCCTCCCCCGCCACCAGCCGGGTCGGCAAGTTTGCCAAGCTGGCCAAGCGCTCGTCTTCGACCTCGAATGTCACCCGTTCGTCTTCGAACGGTCCGTCATCGCCGTTGCTTGGACGTCTGGGTCGTCTTGCGAAGAACATCCGTACCAACAACACGACGAGTTCCACCCAGTCCAAGGTCGAATCCCTGAAGATTGCTGAGGAGCCTACAGTCAACCAGCCAGAGATGTCTACTACGAAACCAGACAATGCGATTGCGGCTATTGCGCTGCAGACTTCGCCCAAGGACCTGCAGGTCGATTTCCATGAGACGGTCATGAGCGACGACGACAACGACGATGATGACGAGCCCAACAATTTGCATGCCTTGATGGAGGAGCCTCAGGAGCTGAAGACGGCCGTCATGCCGTTCGATAGCAGTGCCCCCGTGGACGTTCCAGAGTCCTTGGCGATCAAGATCCCTGGACAGCCTTCGCCATCGGCGAACTGGGCGCAATCACCGACACTGCACCAGAACGACGCCAGTGCCAGCACGAGTTCCCCTAGCCATTTCTTGACCAAGGCTGGTCGCTCATCGACTGCGGGCAGCACGGTCGGAGGTGCTAGCGAGACTGCATCTTTGGGTTCGAGTGATAAGAACAGCGGGGTTGGACTCAACGAGGTCGAGGGAGGCAAGTTCCAGAACAAGCGCCGGCCCAGTGTGTTGAAGAAGATTGGCAAGATCATGAAGAACAGCAACGAGAAGAGGAAGGAGAAGCGGATGAGTCGACAGAATAGCTCGGCGATGACGAGCCCGATCGAGGCGGATGAGCAGGTGGCTCGATTCTGAGGAGGAAGAGAGAGTGGAGGAGAAGAGAGGGAGACGTACAACAAAGATACCATCGAGATCATCGACTTAGTCAAGACAGTACCCAGGTGCCATATAGTCCAAGCACCAGTAGTGTAATACGATCCATACAAACCGTAAAAAAATACTATTACCATTACAACAAAGCATATGCACAGTTTCGTGGTATTCGCAAAGGACGTCCAAGGGAAGGAGTTATCAGCATCAACTGAGCCCGAACCCCGCGCGCCATTGACCAATAATCGCGTCCAACGAATCAGAGACGCGGAAACTATATGGCTCTAGCACACAGCTGTGGAGACAGCACTCTGCGGGCCCGCCCACACGCATCCGTAGCGGATATTATGAAAAAAAGCTTATACAAATAATAAAACGAAAACGAATGCACAGCAAGGATGAGATGGAAAGATGGAATCGCCGTTTCATGTCCATGGACCGTTGGAATCGATCGATGGATGGATGGATGAATGGATGGATGGATGAATGGATGGATGGATGAATGGATGGATGGATGAATGGATGGATGGATGAATGGATGGATGGATGAATGGATGGATGGATGAATGGATGGATGGATGAATGGATGGATGGATGAATGACTTGCCTTTTTTTTTTTCTTTTGCATACCATGAGACATTTGAATGAACGAAACCCAAGTTTTATAGGATGTGATGGCCGTTATGAAAAATAGGCCCTCGTTCTTCAAGTCACGCATGGTAACGAACCCATGTGTGAGGGGGAGTTTTTTCTTCTTTCTTTCTTGTCGCGCTGTAATCTCCTCTCGTCTCTCTTTTTCTTTCTTCCTCTTCCTCCTTCTCTTTCTCTTTCCCTTATATCTTCACAATTCACACTGCCGATCCTCTCCTCTCTATCACTCGTCCTCTTTCATTCTTTCATTACCCTTCCCACATAACCAAGCATCAAACACAAAAAAGATGTCGTCCACTCCAATTGCAAGCAAGATCATCCCAAAGGCGGCTAGGGCACACCTGGACCCAGCCAATATCGAGTACACGTCCGAGAAGCAGAAGAACGCGGTCGCAGCCTTGGTCGAGGAGTTCACCGTCACGCCGGAACTCCTCAAGAGCATCCAGAAGAACTTTATGGAGGGCATGAAGAAGGGTCTGAAGAAGGATGGCGAGACCCTGGCGATGATCTCGTCCTATGTCGTGGGTCGGCTTGATGGCACTGGTAATGTGAACAGATTTTATTTTCTTTCCAAAAGATTCTTGAGATTCTATGGTCGCATCGACTTGGGTTGGTTAATTAGAGAGCTACGAAGAGATGACGGCAGGGATTCATTTTTTTTATTTCCATCTTATTGTCATCATCTTTGCATCGATGGTTTGTGCGCTAGCTGTAGATCGGCCGCATTTGTTTGTGCGTGTGTGTATATGTGTGTATGTGGTGTGGAGGGGCGGGGAGAGAAAACGCAGCTCTGTATCCGTGGATTGTTTGTCTGGACAATCCCTTCCCATTCTATCACCACCACTACCACCACCACCAGAGCCATGTCCTGCATGATTTTCATTTTTCTTTTTTAAACTCGATCTTTAATGATGTGTGTTGGGTTCGTTTTAGATGTGCTTATCTCGATGTTTCCCTTTATGTTTATTGTTGTTTTCTAACAAATCTTTCTCCCCACAATTTTTTTGTTTGTCCCTCTAATCAATTCTTGTTGATTCCATTTTGTTATCATGCGTACGTGCGTGCATCTTTGTAGAGGTGGGCTCTTATCTGGCCTTGGACGTCGGTGGCACGAACCTGCGTGTGGTCTCTGTGCACCTCAACGGAGGCGGGGAGATTACGACCCGCCAGACAAAGTACCGGATCGACGAGAAGCTCAAGGTTGGCGACGCAAAGTCGTTGTTTGGTAAGTCGTTTGATTTGTTTTGTTTTTGTTTTCGACGATATGGAATAGTGCGATATGATACGACATGATACGATATGATATGGAGGTGCGGTGACTGGGGCAGAGAGGGGAGGAAGTATGCTATGTAGCCATGTCTATGTATAAAAAAAACAACACAAGGTTTCAATGCCCCGGCGAGCAGAAGTAAGGTGTGATGACGAGTGAGATGGCAACGGCTTCAGAGGAGACCATCATGATGGTCCCCGTTGACGCGTGCGACTGGGACATGTTCCGGCCAGCCCGTTCATTCGCTCGTGAGGTGTCTCCGGAGATGGGCAGGATCGGCTTGTAGTGCTTGATTCTAACACTTGCTATATTCTCTATGTGTTTCTAGACTTTATGGCCGTCTGTGTCGACTCGTTCTGTAAGTCCGGAAACCATACTCCGCTTCAATATCTTTCATCCCGCCTGTCCTTTTTTTTTGTGCTGAAAACGGTTCAACCGATTTCGACAGCCAAAAAAAAAAAAAGAACAGCTCCCATGATGTGTCTCGCTTTGGTACCTCTAGGCTCGTTCGTTGTTTGCATCCATCATCACCAGGTCTAACCTCGCTTCCTCTCCTTACCACGTCATGATTAATTTCCTTAATCGTCGTATCTGCCTTTGTTTCCAGTGGATGAGCACCAGATCGTTGTCCGCGGCGACGCCCAGATCGAGCTCGGATTCACCTTCTCATTCCCAGTCCTGCAGACCGCCATCAACCGCGGTACATTGATCACCTGGACCAAGGGCTTCAATGCCTCCGGTATGGTCGGCAAGGACCCCGTCGCGCTCTTGCAAGATGCGTTCAACAGACGCCATACTCCTGTCCGTGTTGGTAAGGAAGAGCTTTGACAAACCCAATTAGGATCTTATTTGCTCATTTTCATTTACGGTTGATGGAACTAAAAATATATTTGATGATGATAATAATTAGCTGCGTTGGTCAACGACACGGTCGGAACGCTCTTGGCTTATGCCTACAACCATCCCGAGACGATCATGGGAGTGTAAGTAACCTTATCGTATCTGTCCCGTGTAACCTGGTGCGAAAAGAGATGCTGATCGGTTTATATTGTGTGAATTTACACATTTAGTATTCTCGGAACTGGATGCAACGGCGCCTACATCGAAAAGATCTCGAACATTGAAAAATGGAAGGGAAAGACCACTGCAGATGAGATGATCGTCAACATGGAGTTTGGCGCGTTCGATAAGGAGCGCGTGATCCTGCCCTTGACCATGTTCGATAACAAGATGGACAGAAAGTCTGTCGTAAGTGCGCTTATCTTTTCTTTCTTTTTATTTTTTATTTTTTATTTTTTATTTTTTATTTTTTATTTTTTATTTTTTATTTTTTATTTTTGGTCCCCATCGCATTTGAGTTAAAGTCTTTGAATTAACCCACATTGACCTACGACCGACGGTCTTTTCGTTTTTCTGAAATAGAACCCCAATAAGCAAATCTTTGAAAAGATGATTGCGGGCATGTATCTTGGCGAGATCACGCGCAACATCCTGCTCAACCTGATCGACCGTCGCCTGTTGTTCGAGGGCAACGTCAGTGCGGACCTGAACCAGATGTGGACATTCGAGACCGCGTACATGTCGTCGATCGAGGCTGACCACTCTCCCACGCTTCACGAGACCCGCAAGATCCTCGAGAGCACACTCAGCTTCCCCTCGACGACGCTGAATGATCGCCAGATCGTCAAGACGGTGGTTGAGCTGGTCGGCAAGCGTGCGGCCCGTTTGAGTGCTGCGGCCCTGGCAGGTATTTTGGAGCACACAGGAGCATGGAAACACAAGTCTGCGATCGGTATCGACGGCAGTTTGTTTGAGTACTACCCGAGCTTTGATACGGACATTATGGATGGATTGGAGGAAGTCTTTGGAGAGGAGGTGCGTAAGAACGTCTCCTTGGGACTTGCACAGGACGGAAGTGGCGTTGGTGCGGGTCTTTGTGCGCTGTTGGCGGCCAAGAACTCTGCGACCAAGGACGCATAGAGGGGAGCGGCGTGCTTTTGAGGTAGGAAAGAGGGGGGAAAAATGGTACCACCTAGGACCGTTTATTTTAATTTGTCTGTAGAAACTGATGAGGGGAGGAGCGAGGCACAGGACAACAGTGGTCTCTCTCTCTCTCTCTCTCTCTCTCTCTCTCACATCTCTTTCTGCTTCGTTAGCTTTGCGTTGAGCTTTGTACATACATCTGTCCCTTCTCATCGTTTTAATAATAAACAGCAATCAATCAAACAACAGAAGAAGTATGTGGGTCGAGAACAGCATTCGGGAGGAACTGCCAGTTTGTTAAGAAATAAGGAGGGAGAGGGAGACGGATGGTCGCACCAAGCAGTTACTGCACTCGGAACCGCATTACATTCACCTCAAGCAAACTAAGTGACATCCACAGAATCGACCGGCTTTGCTGACTGTACAGTGGGAGAGTCTGTAGTGAGAATGGTATTCAATGTGTCGTGGTTTGACGGCAACTTGAGTTTAGATGCCACGGACGCCATGCTGATAAGCTTCCTGCTTGCCTCGCGGAAACTCGGTGGAATCGGCTTGCCCACAGCGCCGCGCTGCTCTAATAGCCGCATATTGATCCTGTTCAAGCCCTGCGCGTCTTGGATAGAGGCATTCGACACAACAAGTCTGCCATCCATCGAACTCCAATGTAAACGCACCTGAAAGTGATCTTCCTCTTCTGTGGCTCGCCACATGCGAACAGACATATCGTAACTGCCGGTTACGAAATAGAGGCCATTGGGAATCGTGCTCCAGGCGATGCTTGTGACTAATTCTTGGAAACCTTCGACAATTGCCAAGCATTGACCCGAATTCACATCCCACAATCGCACTGTTTTGTCGCTACTGCAGGAGGCAATCTGCTGGCCACTGGGCGAATATGCCACGCTATTAACATCGTCGGTATGGCCGCTTAGAATGGGACCAGGTGTGCCGGTTTGCGCGTCCCATAGCCGCACCGTCTGGTCGCGACTGCAGGAGGCAATCTGCTGGCCGCTGGGTGAATACGCCACGATACTGACACTGTCGGTATGGCCTGTTAGGATGGGACCGGGTGCGTCGATTTGTGCGTCCCATAGCCGCACCGTCTTGTCGTCACTGCAGGAGGCAATCTGCTGGCCGTTGGGCGAATATGCCACGCTATTAACAATGTCGGTATGGCCGCTTAGGATGGGGTCGGGTACCCCTGTTTGCACGTCCCACAGCCGCACCGTATTATCACTGCTGCAGGAGGCAACCTGCTGGCCGCTGGGAGAATACTCCACGCCCCATACGGATTCGGTATGGCCGGTTAGGGTGAGACCGGGAGCACCGGTTTGAGCGTCCCACAGCCGCACTGTGTTGTCGTCACTGCAGGAGGCAATCTGCTGGCCGCTGGGCGAGTATACCACACCCCTGACAAAGCCAGTATGGCCGCTTAGGATGGAACCGGGTGTGCCGGTTTGCGCGTCCCACAGCCGCACTGTCATATCGAAACCGCAGGAGGCAATCTGTTGGCCGCTGGGTGAATACGCCATGCCCAATACCCAACCGGTGTGGCCGCTTAGGATGGGACCAGGTGTGCCGGTTTGCACGTCCCACAGCCGTACCGTCTTGTCTTCGCCGCAGGAGGCAACCTGCCGGCCGCTGGGTGAACATGCCACGCGATATACCCAGCCGGCATGACCGCTTAGGATAGGACCGGGTGCGCCGGTTTGCACGTCCCACAGCCGCACTGTCTTGTCCTCACCGCAGGAGGCAATCTGCTGACCGCTGGGGGAATACGACACGCCCAATACCCAACTGGTATGGCCGGTTAGGGTGGGACCAGGTGCGCCGGTTTGCACGTCCCATAGCCGCACCGTTTTGTCCTCACTGCAGGAGGCAATCTGTTGACCATTGGGCGAATACGCCACGCTATTAACAATGTCGGTATGGTCGGTTAAGGTGAGACCGGGTGCCCCGGTTTGCGCGTCCCATAACCGCACCGTCTTGTCGAAACCGCAGGAGGCAATCTGCTGGCCCCTGGGCGAATACGCCACGCCCAATACGCAATCAGTATGGCCGCTTAGGATGGGGCCGGGTGCGCCGGTTTGCGCGTCCCACAGCCGTACCGTGTTGTCGTTACTGCAGGAGGCAATCTGTTGGCCGCTGGGTGAATACGCCACGCTATTAACACTGTCGTTATGACCGGCTAGGATGAGACCGGGTACCCCTGTTTGCACGTTCCACAGCCGCACCGTGTTGTCGTCACTGCAGGAGGCAATCTGCTGGCCGCTGGGTGAATACGCCACGCCCCATACGCAATCGGTATGGCCGGTTAGGATGGGAGCAGGTGCACCGGTTTGCGCGTCCCACAGCCGCACTGTCTTGTCGCTACTGCAGGAGGCAATCTGCTGACCGTTGGGCGAAAATACCACGCTCCTGACTTTGTCGGTATGACCGTTAAAAGTGTGGGTTTTTGTCCAAGTCGTGGTGTCATACACGCTGATCGTGCCGTCGTAGATGCCCACGGCACAGGAATTTCCATCCGGCGAATATACGCAGGATTGTACCGTGTCATCTTCTTTAAGGTAAGGCCATTCGCCAAACTGTACGCCTGCCATTTGCGCGCTGCTCAAATTGGCCTGATGTAGCCAAATACCGCGAAGATTGGCCTTTCTCAAGTCCGCCCCTTGTAGTTGAGCAGAATCGAATTGGCCATAACTCAGGTCCGCCCCTGGAATCTGGATGCCCTTCAAATCCGCCCCGTTAAACCGTATCCCGGCTCTGATCAATATCGTGATTGCATTCGCCGCTGCTTTGCGCACCTCTTTATCGGCTTTCGAGTGTTCAATCATCGCAAGCAGTTGTTGTTTGAAGACAGGCTCCTGGTGGACACGCTCCGCTAAAAACTGCAGAATAGATGGCTCTCTCATGAAGCTTCTCCACGCCAATGGATGGTCAACCAGAGGCTGCTGAATGCCGATGGATGCTTCCTCAGTTGCCTCTCGATCTTCAAAGCTCCATATGGAAGCCGCGCTTCCTCGGCGGATCGGGGTGTGTGCTCCACCCAAGTTCTTCCTGACCTCTTGCGGTTCAAATATTGCGCGCGTTATGCTGTATTCCAGCAACGATCGATGGATGAACCGGTATTGATTGCCGTTGCGGATCAGAGGACAGGCTTCCAGCAGGAGCTGGTTCTCGTCATCTCGGTTGAAAAACTTTCCTTTCCATGTCTCTTGGTCTTGTTTGTGTGAATACTCCACCACCGGGTTTCCTGCCTGATTCTTGTAGATCGCCGCTGCCAAATCCTTCATAAACGTGATACCGTTCTTCGTAAAGCCTTCATCCGCCAGCCTCTCGAAAGCTTTCTTCTCTTGACGGCTCAAGTCCTTCTTGCCGAAAAGCCGTTTCTTGCCACGTTCCAGCCACAACTCCATGAACTGGTCATACAAGGCAACTCTAGTGACCATGGCTGTCGAGAGCTCTTGTCCTGGATCCACCAGGCGCGGCAGTACCTCCAATGACAGTGTCAGAAGGAACGGGTTCTTCACCAGATCCATCAGATTAGGAATCTTGCGAAGTGCTTCCAGGTAGTCCTTGGTCTGCCAGAGTGGTCTGTTTGCGAACACGTATTGCTTGATGTAATCGTGGATTTGGGCGGCAGAGAACGGTGCAATGACAGCTTCTTCAAAGAGCCTTGATGGACCGCTGTAATTCCGGTCAGTCGGTTGAAAGCGATCCCTGTAGTCTTTGGGAAGATACTCGGTACGGCAGCTGATCACCATCTGTGCACGCCATTGTCCCTCCTGGTTCAGCCGATTGCTTGTATACAGGTTGTTCATTTGCTGACTCTCGTCATATCCATCACAGATCAAGATAAACTCGCGATGGTCTTTCATCTCTCGGATCTGGGGCTCTGTAAAGTCATTCCTGCGCAAGTGTTTGGCGATCAGATCCTGTTCCGGCTTATCGATCGCAGGCAAGTTGATGTGCAGCGGAATTCGGCCATCCCCTTTCCTGTATCTGCTCCACATGACACATTCAAGTTCCCGGCTAAAGGTCGACTTGCCTGCTCCAGAGTCGCCCAGCAGCAATAACACCTGTCGATCACTGCTCAGAAACTCGTTGACTTTCTCCATCAGTGGGAACAACGCATCATCAAGTGCTTGTAGGCTAGCCTTGGCTTGAGGAGGAATGTACACAGCCTTGCCCCGTGTCTCCAGCCGTTTCGCTCTCAGCAGACGCAGGTCGTATTCAACGTCGGGTATATCCTGGACACGATCGAGCAAGGATGGAGACGCCAGTGGGGGAGAGCAGACCTTCAGTGGATATGGGCTTGGACCTTCGCTCATACAGGCTCGATAAAGAACCTGTTTCTTTGCGTCGCCATTCTTTTGCAACTCCTGTAGTAAGGTGCGGGCGCGCGTATTTATGGTGCTGTCTGGCGAGTCGGTTAGCTGGATAAGGATTTTGAGAATCCATTGCTTGACGCTGGCATGCTCGCCCCAATCCGCGTCATTCCTGTACAGCTCGCCTAGAAAATCGATAGCGCTTTGGCGGGTGCTGGCATCCCAGAACGGATTGGTTGCAATTCCCCCAAGCCGTTGGCATAGTCCCCATTCAAAGGCAAAATCGCGCCGGCAAGGCGCTTCACAGATCAACGTCTTGAAGTCGGCGAGTCGACCTTCTCGAAGCAAGGTGTCTATACCGCGTAATGCTGGATACCATGTACGTTTTTGGCTGAAGCTGAGGCCCTCCTTTAGACTCTCCATAAGATCTTGTCCACTCTCGACCAGTGAACTCACTCCTTCGTAACCGATTTTGGCCAGCTGGTACACTTCCCCTAATCCTCCCTGAAGTTGTCCCAGTCCATCAATAAAGCCGTTCAGATCCAGACCCTTGACTGCACTCACTAGTCCTGAAACGCCTTTCACCACTACGCGTGTGCGCCGTAGAACAGCCTGCATGGGCGTTTCATCATCTGGGACATACTGCAAGGCTTGATAGGCGTAGGCGGCTTGATACACCAAATAAGGGTCCGAGCTACCCTTTAATCCATCCAAATAGGCGACAAGAGGTGCATGCAGTCGTTCGCGGTCCAGGTCCTTGACATGGCTATCGGCCATCGCATCCAGAACATGTGATACCGTCAGCGACAATTGGTAAAGATGATCGGTCGATTGCTGGTGAGTGTCCTGTAAGCGCGTGCTGAGGACTCCTAAGATCTTGACCAAATCATCCGCATGGAGGTAGCCTGGGGAAGCGCTTTGTATCATCTGTGCCAGCCCTTCAAGTAGATTGAAATCCAGCAAGGTGGATTGTCCAATACCATCGATAAAACTACCAAGCAGCTTCCGGTACTGGCCTTGGTCGAGAACAGGCGCTAGGTACACAACTTCAGTCACGGTGGCGGGTGCCTTGAGTTCATCATCGATGAATACCGCAATCAACTTTGTCGCCAACAAGCGTAATCGTTCCTGCTCATCTGCATCCTCTGCTTTGGCTTGTATCCAGGTGCGTTGGGTATTGTCGAGCGCTTCATCGATTTCTACGGCAGACAGAGATGACAGCGACGAGGCCCTAGATAGCAAGCTGAGGCAGTACACAAGCTGTGGAGTACTGGCGATGCGCTCATCCGATTTGGGTAAATCATATTTGGCCACAGGCTTTGCCACATTCTGAGGAAAAATCCCTGAAGGAATCTGTGCAATGTCGCGGTGATGAGGGCCACTCGAACCTGAAGGAGATGAGAGGCGAGACTTGGCTGAAAGAGAGACAGGGGAAACTAGTGCGCGATGGGTGGAGTTGGCCTTGTTGTTGCCGGGCCGAGAAGAGTCGGGTGATCGTTGGTCAATATCCTGGACATGTCCCCATTTCGCTGCCTTCTTGTAGCTGGTTTGTGCCATTGCGCTATACCCCAAGCTGTCCAACAGTTTTCCATGTTCGAGATAAGCATTAGCGATTCCATCACGCAAGGTTTGATCCGCACCCGACTGTGGAGAGGCGAGAGCCTTTTTTGCGGCTCTTTTCGTCCGAGATAACGCAGCTTTTGCATCGCTGCAAAACTGCAGAGCAATTTCTGGATCATTGGCTTTGCGCGCGATCTCCAATTGGATATTAGCAACCTCTAGCTCCTTTTGTGGTGAGCAAGTGCTTCCTGATGATGAAAAAGTATAGCCAAGCATGCCACTCCTCTCCTGGTATTATAGAGTAGATGGTGACGATGTTAGTGACCTTGCCGCCAATTAATAGTTTTGTGCGAGTAGTTTGCGTACGTGCTTACACTTGACAGACGCTGCAGTAACGCAATGGTACACGATAAGATGCAACGAGCTGGGAGACTGCAGACGTAGTGGCAGTAGGCCGGTCTATCTTCAAATAAATCGATTAGTATCCATAGCAGCTGTCTGAACTTTATCATATGTAGCTACTCTGCGCAAGTAATAGTGCATCACCTTGGAAGTGTTTACTCGACTCTTGTATCCTTTGACTGGATGCCGACGTAGTCCAGAAGGTTTGTTCTCTTTGTGTCCTGTAGCAACGATACCAAATGCCTTTAATGAATCATGACGGATTAATAACCATTACACACGCCTGTAGCCTACCCTTGAGTGACAAGAAACAATGCCTCACCTCAATACGAGTCTGCTTCTGGCTTCCTTTCGCTGGCTGAGGAGATGGTCCGTCCTTGTGCAGTGTTTTCTGCTCCAATTCTTTGTTCAAGAATGTCCGCGCACGAATGAGGTGGTCGAGTGAAGCGATATGTGTCCTCTTGTCACTTCTAGCAGAGGTGCCTGTTATGATGCAAGAAGGGGTTAATATCCATTGCACATTCATGGCTGTTCTTTCGACATTCGCACACCCTTGTCCCAGCTATTCTAGCATTAGCATTCCTGAGTCGACTCTAATGGTTCAGGCACAGGCAGGAAAGGGGTCTCTGCAGATAAACAGTGTTTTTGTTACCAATAAGTTGCCGCCGGACTGCGCTTGTTGAGATTGAGCAGAGACGTACAAGAGACAGAGAAGTACAAGAGACAGAGAAGAGAGAGGAAAGATGAGAAAGATTAAGGACAGTTCCTGATAGATTGAGGGAGGGTGTAGCTGGGAAGAAAGGAAAACGGAAAGAGCGGAAAGAGGAGGAAAGAGAGCGCAGACATAAATAGTGAGCGTTTCGAGGCACATCCATCGTTGTTGTATTAGACTATTAGCAAAACAGATTCATGCTTTCATGCCCCAGCCCTCGTGTAACGCAGAATGGGCTCTCATCAAACGATACTAGTCTATGGTCACAGCTCCAGCCCATAAACGACCCGATGTCAAACGCTCTGACCCTGATACCTCGGCTTCCAAATCACACAAATCCCAAACGAAATATACGCTTTGTGATAAGATGCAGTCCATCTCAAAAATATCACGCAGGGGGAGAACGCAATCTAGATGCCTCCCATGTCGTTCTCTCAAAAACGTTGAATATGCATCTCAGGACAGCTACCGATATGCTTGAAAAGGAAGACAGGATCCGTCAAGCAATGGCGATGCTGCCGCTTGTGGCAACAAGAACGATTGTATGCAACAGGCCAAGACCAATGGCGGTTGTGGAAGAGGCTGTTCACACCTGCTGTGGTGATGTGAAAGATTCTTTTCGTCCTGAGCATAAGCCAGAGCCGATTGCCTTTTCAAATGGTTGGGTCCAAAAGTTCAAAAGACAGAGAGCGCTCAAGAAATACATCGGCCATGGTGAAAGCGGATCGGCCAACATGGATCTCTACAGGACTCAAGTTGGACAGATCCAAATGTCGCTCGAGGGCTTTGACCCTGATAATATCTATAATTGCGATGAGACGGGTCTCTTTCTGAAGGCTGTGCTCAACAACTCTTGCTACTGGCCTAATTCGTGGCAAGGAGACCCACTCGGGTTGCACTGTATCAGCGTTGTTGTGCAGTAATGCCACGGGTGCAGACAAACGCAACCTTTATGTCCTTTGTAAGTAATGCAGTATTGTTTGAGCAGTGTGATAGTGCAAACTCAAAGGATTTTTTGCTCACAAAGGTTTATAGGTTTACAGCCGAGCGGTTTGACTCAAGTAACATTGAAGGCTATCGTTGCCGAGGTCCTTTGCAGTTATCGCATTCGGAAAGGATCATCCACGGCTACAGTTTGAAATGGGAAACTCTGGACTCCTGATTGCATCCGCAATTGCTTTGTCCAAGTTCATATCCTCTCCGAGTACCAGAAAACTCGATCGTTAGGTCTAGGAGTTGAGACAAAGGCAGATCAAGTCATTCATCTTCAAGAAGAGCTCAGGGAACGATATGTAGGGAATGAAGAAACTATCGCCGATCAGAAGAGCTTCTCCGTCCTGAACTATCTCAGCATGATCAATAGGGAAGGGCCTTTACCAGGGATTGTCGAGGTCGCCCACGAGATAATGGGTCGCGAGCAATACAAGGGAACATTTCAGCAACTGAAGGAGAATGGCTTCGTGGATGATGACAACTCTGAAGACTCTGATAACGATACTTGGGCGACGACGACGAATCTGACCTGGATTAAGAAGACCCAAAGCCAGTTGTTAGTGACCAAGAGATCCAGGTAGTCGAAATCGCTCTCCACAACCGCACGGTTGAGAAGGGGGTTCCCATCGAGAGGCTTTCGTCAACACCTTCAATCCTCTACGCAGAAGAGGTCTGTTCTCAAGAATATATCTTCAAGACGCTGTAAACGAGTTTATATCTGGTGCTGTTGATGTGCAGGAAGCCCATTACAATGCTCTGTCGAAGACTCGCCATCAGGTCGCTCTGGACGAGATGGATATGTTCGTTGATTGCCATAGGCTTGGGTTATAACATACATGAAACACCGGGTTCAATTGGACTGAATAAAAAGAGCCGACATCGAAAGATCAAAAGGCAACGTCGCTGGCTGCCACAAGCCAGTATCAGACTTCACATAACAGCCACACTTGCTGGTTTATATTAATAAAAATGAAGTGCATGACAGAAACCTTCATCTTGGTCCATCCTCCGAGTACATCCCCATTTCAAAGTACTACTAAATAACTATCGGATTATTACACGGTTAATATATTGTGCCTATGGTGCCTATATTACATGATGTACGGAATGTTAGCTATTAATGCATGCTTTATAGAGCAAGATGATGCACTCATAACTGCATCACATTCACCTCAAGCAAGCGAAGAGACAGTCGCAGAGTCGACCGGCTGTGCTGACTGTACAGTGGGAGAATCTGCAGTGAGAATGGTATCCAAAGTTTTGCGGTTTGACGGTAGCTTGAGTTTAGATGCCATGGACGCCATGCTGATAAGCTTCCTGCTTGCCTCGCGGAAACTCGGAGGTGGAATCGGCTTGCCCACAGCGCCGCGCTGCTCTAATAGCCGCATATTGATCCTGTTCAAGCCCTGCGCGTCTTGGATAGAGGCATTCGACACAACAAGTGCGCCTTGCATCGAACTCCAATGTAGACGCACCTGAAAGTGATCTTCCTCTTCTATGACTCTCCACATGCGAACAGACATATCTCCACAGCCGGTTACGAAACAGGGGCTATTGGGGGTCGTGTCCCAGGCGACGCTTGAGACTACTCCATGGAAACCCTCGACAATTGCCAAGCATTGACCCGAATTCGCATCCCACAACCGCACTGTCTTGTCGTCACTGCAGGAGGCAATCTGCCGGCCACTGGATGAGTACGCCACATTATTAACGTCGTCGGTATGGCCGCTTAAGATGAGACCGGGTGTGCCGGTCTGCGCGTCCCATAGCCGCACCGTCTTGTCGCGACTGCAGGAGGCAATCTGCTGGCCACTGGGTGAATACGCCACGCCCCATACCCATTCGGTATGACCGTTTAGGATGGGGCCGGGTGCGCCGGTTTGCGCGTCCCACAGTCGCACCGTGTTGTCGCCACCGCAGGAAACAATCTGCTGGCCGCTGGGCGAATACGCCACGGTATTAACATCCTCGGTATGGCCGGCTAGAATGGGACCAGGTGCGCCGGTTTGCGCGTCCCAGAGCCGCAACGTGTCGTCGTCACTGCAGGAGACAATCTGCTGGCCGCTGGGCGAATACGCCACGGTATTAACATTGTCAGTATGGCCGCTTAAGATGAGACCGGGCGCGCCGGTTTGCGCGTCCCACAGCCGCACCGTGTTGTCGCCACTGCAGGAAGCAATCTGCTGGCCGCTGGGCGAATACGTCACGCCCCATACCCAATCGGTATGGCCGCTTAGGATGGGACCAGGTGTGCCGGTTTGCGCGTCCCACAGCCGCACCGTGTTATCGTCACTGCAGGAGACAATCTGCTGGCCGCTGGGGGAATACGATACGTTATTAACATCGTTGGTATGACCGCTTGAGATAAATCCGAGTGTGCCGATTTGCGCGTCCCACAACCGTACCGTCATGTCCTCACTGCAGGAGGCAATCTGCTGACCACTGGGCGAATACGCTACGCTATTAACATGGTCGGTATGGCCAGTTAGGATGGGACCGGGTGCGCCGGTTTGCGCGTTCCACAGCCGCACCGTCTTGTCCTCACTGCAGGAGGCAATCTGCTGGCCACTGGGTGAATACGCCAAGCCCAATATCCATTCGGCATGGCCGGCTAGGATGGGGCCGGATGCGCCGGTTTGCACGTCCCACAGCCGCACCGTCTTGTCGCTACTACAGGAGGCAATCTGCTGGCCGCTGGGTGAATACGCCACAGTCCATACGCAGTCGGTATGGCCGTTTAGGATGGGACCAGGTGCGCCGGTTTGCGCGTCCCACAGCCGCACCGTCATGTCGTCACCGCAGGAGGCAATCTGCTGGCCGCTGGGCGAATACGCCACACCCCATAAGCAATCGGTATGTCCGGTTAGGATGGGACCAGGTGCGCCGGTTTGCGCGTCCCATAGCCGTACCGTGTTGTCGCCACCGCAGGAGGCAATCTGTTGGCCGCTGGGTGAATACGCCACGCCATAAACACTGTCGTTATGACCGGCTAGGATGAGATCGGGTACCCCGGTTTGCACGTTCCACAGCCGCACCGTGTTGTCGTCACTACAGGAGGCAATCTGTTGGCCGCTGGGCGAATACGCCACGCTATTAATATCCTCGGTATGGCCGCTTAAAATGTGGGTTTTTGTCCAAGTCGTGGTGTCATACACGCTGATCGTGCCATCTTGAACGCCCACGGCGAAGGTCTTCCTGTCCGGTGAATACACGCAGGAACTCAGAGCCTCGTCTTCTATGAGATACGGCCATTCGCCAAACTGTACGCCTGCCATTTGCGCGCTGCTTAAATTGACCTGACGTAGCCAAATACCACGAAGATTGGCCTTTCTCAAGTCCGCCCCTTGTAGTTGAGCAGAATCGAATTGGCCATAACTCAGGTCCGCCCCTGGAATCTGGATGCCCTTCAAATCCGCCCCGTTAAACCGTATCCCGGCTCTGACCAATATCGTGATCGCATTGGCGGCTGCAACGCGCCACTCCTTGTCGGTTTTCGAGTGTTCGATGAAGGCAAGCAGCTGTTTCTTGAATAAGGGCTCCTGTTGAACACGCTCTACCAGAAATTGCAGAACAGAAGGCTCGCTCATGAAATTCCTCCAGACCAATGGCGAGTTGGGCTCAACAGGTTGTCGCTCTTCGGCAGTGGCGGCCACATCCTCTAAACCGCCTTGGATCTCAAAGCTCCAAATGGAAGCTGCGCTCCCTCGGCGGATCGGGGTGTGTGCTCCACCCAAGTTCTTCCTGACCTCTTGCGGTTCAAATATTGCGCGCGTTATGCTGTATTCCAGCAACGATCGATGGATGAACCGGTATTGATTGCCGTTGCGGATCAGAGGACAGGCTTCCAGCAGGAGCTGGTTCTCGTCATCTCGGTTGAAAAACTTTCCTTTCCATGTCTCTTGGTCTTGTTTGTGTGAATACTCCACCACCGGGTTTCCTGCCTGATTCTTGTAGATCGCCGCTGCCAAATCCTTCATAAACGTGATACCGTTCTTCGTAAAGCCTTCATCCGCCAGCCTCTCGAAAGCTTTCTTCTCTTGACGGCTCAAGTCCTTCTTGCCGAAAAGCCGTTTCTTGCCACGTTCCAGCCACAACTCCATGAACTGGTCATACAAGGCAACTCTAGTGACCATGGCTGTCGAGAGCTCTTGTCCTGGATCCACCAGGCGCGGCAGTACCTCCAATGACAGTGTCAGAAGGAACGGGTTCTTCACCAGATCCATCAGATTAGGAATCTTGCGAAGTGCTTCCAGGTAGTCCTTGGTCTGCCAGAGTGGTCTGTTTGCGAACACGTATTGCTTGATGTAATCGTGGATTTGGGCGGCAGAGAACGGTGCAATGACAGCTTCTTCAAAGAGCCTTGATGGACCGCTGTAATTCCGGTCAGTCGGTTGAAAGCGATCCCTGTAGTCTTTGGGAAGATACTCGGTACGGCAGCTGATCACCATCTGTGCACGCCATTGTCCCTCCTGGTTCAGCCGATTGCTTGTATACAGGTTGTTCATTTGCTGACTCTCGTCATATCCATCACAGATCAAGATAAACTCGCGATGGTCTTTCATCTCTCGGATCTGGGGCTCTGTAAAGTCATTCCTGCGCAAGTGTTTGGCGATCAGATCCTGTTCCGGCTTATCGATCGCAGGCAAGTTGATGTGCAGCGGAATTCGGCCATCCCCTTTCCTGTATCTGCTCCACATGACACATTCAAGTTCCCGGCTAAAGGTCGACTTGCCTGCTCCAGAGTCGCCCAGCAGCAATAACACCTGTCGATCACTGCTCAGAAACTCGTTGACTTTCTCCATCAGTGGGAACAACGCATCATCAAGTGCTTGTAGGCTAGCCTTGGCTTGAGGAGGAATGTACACAGCCTTGCCCCGTGTCTCCAGCCGTTTCGCTCTCAGCAGACGCAGGTCGTATTCAACGTCGGGTATATCCTGGACACGATCGAGCAAGGATGGAGACGCCAGTGGGGGAGAGCAGACCTTCAGTGGATATGGGCTTGGACCTTCGCTCATACAGGCTCGATAAAGAACCTGTTTCTTTGCGTCGCCATTCTTTTGCAACTCCTGTAGTAAGGTGCGGGCGCGCGTATTTATGGTGCTGTCTGGCGAGTCGGTTAGCTGGATAAGGATTTTGAGAATCCATTGCTTGACGCTGGCATGCTCGCCCCAATCCGCGTCATTCCTGTACAGCTCGCCTAGAAAATCGATAGCGCTTTGGCGGGTGCTGGCATCCCAGAACGGATTGGTTGCAATTCCCCCAAGCCGTTGGCATAGTCCCCATTCAAAGGCAAAATCGCGCCGGCAAGGCGCTTCACAGATCAACGTCTTGAAGTCGGCGAGTCGACCTTCTCGAAGCAAGGTGTCTATACCGCGTAATGCTGGATACCATGTACGTTTTTGGCTGAAGCTGAGGCCCTCCTTTAGACTCTCCATAAGATCTTGTCCACTCTCGACCAGTGAACTCACTCCTTCGTAACCGATTTTGGCCAGCTGGTACACTTCCCCTAATCCTCCCTGAAGTTGTCCCAGTCCATCAATAAAGCCGTTCAGATCCAGACCCTTGACTGCACTCACTAGTCCTGAAACGCCTTTCACCACTACGCGTGTGCGCCGTAGAACAGCCTGCATGGGCGTTTCATCATCTGGGACATACTGCAAGGCTTGATAGGCGTAGGCGGCTTGATACACCAAATAAGGGTCCGAGCTACCCTTTAATCCATCCAAATAGGCGACAAGAGGTGCATGCAGTCGTTCGCGGTCCAGGTCCTTGACATGGCTATCGGCCATCGCATCCAGAACATGTGATACCGTCAGCGACAATTGGTAAAGATGATCGGTCGATTGCTGGTGAGTGTCCTGTAAGCGCGTGCTGAGGACTCCTAAGATCTTGACCAAATCATCCGCATGGAGGTAGCCTGGGGAAGCGCTTTGTATCATCTGTGCCAGCCCTTCAAGTAGATTGAAATCCAGCAAGGTGGATTGTCCAATACCATCGATAAAACTACCAAGCAGCTTCCGGTACTGGCCTTGGTCGAGAACAGGCGCTAGGTACACAACTTCAGTCACGGTGGCGGGTGCCTTGAGTTCATCATCGATGAATACCGCAATCAACTTTGTCGCCAACAAGCGTAATCGTTCCTGCTCATCTGCATCCTCTGCTTTGGCTTGTATCCAGGTGCGTTGGGTATTGTCGAGCGCTTCATCGATTTCTACGGCAGACAGAGATGACAGCGACGAGGCCCTAGATAGCAAGCTGAGGCAGTACACAAGCTGTGGAGTACTGGCGATGCGCTCATCCGATTTGGGTAAATCATATTTGGCCACAGGCTTTGCCACATTCTGAGGAAAAATCCCTGAAGGAATCTGTGCAATGTCGCGGTGATGAGGGCCACTCGAACCTGAAGGAGATGAGAGGCGAGACTTGGCTGAAAGAGAGACAGGGGAAACTAGTGCGCGATGGGTGGAGTTGGCCTTGTT